GACAGGTCTCTACCGCAGGTATTATCACACCACGCTGACTGGTGGACAGGTCTCTACCGCAGGTATTATCACACCACGCTGACTGGTGGACAGGTCTCTACCGCAGGTATTATCACACCACTCTGACTGGTGGACAGGTCTCTACCGCAGGTATTATCACACCACGCTGACTGGTGGACAGGTCTCTACCGCAGGTATTATCACACCACGCTGACTGGTGGACAGGTCTCTACCGCAGGTATTATCACACCACGCTGACTGGTGGACAGGTCTCTACCGCAGGTATTATCACACCACGCTGACTGGTGGACAGGTCTCTACCGCAGGTATTATCACACCACGCTGACTGGTGGACAGGTCTCTACCGCAGGTATTATCACACCACTCTGACTGGTGGACAGGTCTCTACCGCAGGTATTATCACACCACGCTGACTGGTGGACAGGTCTCTACCGCAGGTATTATCACACCACGCTGACTGGTGGACAGGTCTCTACCGCAGGTATTATCACACCACGCTGACTGGTGGACAGGTCTCTACCGCAGGTATTATCACACCACGCTGACTGGTGGACAGGTCTCCACCGCAGGTATTATCACACCACGCTGACTGGTGGACAGGTCTCTACCGCAGGTATTATCACACCACGCTGACTGGTGGACAGGTCTCTACCGCAGGTATTATCACACCACGCTGACTGGTGGACAGGTCTCCACCGCAGGTATTATCACACCACGCTGACTGGTGGACAGGTCTCCACCGCAGGTATTATCACACCACGCTGACTGGTGGACAGGTCTCCACCGCTGGTATTATCACACCACGCTGACTGGTGGACAGGTCTCCACCGCAGGTATTATCACACCACGCTGACTGGTGGACAGGTCTCCACCGCAGGTATTATCACACCACGCTGACTGGTGGACAGGTCTCCACCGCTGGTATTATCACACCACGCTGACTGGTGGACAGGTCTCCACCGCAGGTATTATCACACCACGCTGACTGGTGGACAGGTCTCCACCGCTGGTATTATCACACCACGCTGACTGGTGGACAGGTCTCCACCGCAGGTATTATCACACCACGCTGACTGGTGGACAGGTCTCCACCGCAGGTATTATCACACCACGCTGACTGGTGGACAGGTCTCCACCGCTGGTATTATCACACCACGCTGACTGGTGGACAGGTCTCCACCGCTGGTATTATCACACCACGCTGACTGGTGGACAGGTCTCCACCGCTGGTATTATCACACCACGCTGACTGGTGGACAGGTCTCCACCGCTGGTATTATCACACCACGCTGACTGGTGGACAGGTCTCCACCGCTGGTATTATCACACCACGCTGACTGGTGGACAGGTCTCCACCGCTGGTATTATCACACCACGCTGACTGGTGGACAGGTCTCCACCGCAGGTATTATCACACCACGCTGACTGGTGGACAGGTCTCCACCGCAGGTATTATCACACCACGCTGACTGGTGGACAGGTCTCCACCGCTGGTATTATCACACCACGCTGACTGGTGGACAGGTCTCCACCGCTGGTATTATCACACCACTCTGACTGGTGGACAGGTCTCCACCGCAGGTATTATCACACCACGCTGACTGGTGGACAGGTCTCCACCGCAGGTATTATCACACCACGCTGACTGGTGGACAGGTCTCTACCGCAGGTATTATCACACCACGCTGACTGGTGGACAGGTCTCCACCGCAGGTATTATCACACCACGCTGACTGGTGGACAGGTCTCTACCGCAGGTATTATCACACCACGCTGACTGGTGGACAGGTCTCCACCGCAGGTATTATCACACCACGCTGACTGGTGGACAGGTCTCCACCGCTGGTATTATCACACCACTCTGACTGGTGGACAGGTCTCTACCGCAGGTATTATCACACCACGCTGACTGGTGGACAGGTCTCCACCGCTGGTATTATCACACCACTCTGACTGGTGGACAGGTCTCTACCGCAGGTATTATCACACCACGCTGACTGGTGGACAGGTCTCCACCGCAGGTATTATCACACCACGCTGACTGGTGGACAGGTCTCTACCGCAGGTATTATCACACCACGCTGACTGGTGGACAGGTCTCCACCGCTGGTATTATCACACCACGCTGACTGGTGGACAGGTCTCCACCGCAGGTATTATCACACCACGCTGACTGGTGGACAGGTCTCCACCGCTGGTATTATCACACCACGCTGACTGGTGGACAGGTCTCCACCGCTGGTATTATCACACCACGCTGACTGGTGGACAGGTCTCCACCGCTGGTATTATCACACCACGCTGACTGGTGGACAGGTCTCCACCGCTGGTATTATCACACCACGCTGACTGGTGGACAGGTCTCTACCGCAGGTATTATCACACCACGCTGACTGGTGGACAGGTCTCTACCGCAGGTATTATCACACCACGCTGACTGGTGGACAGGTCTCTACCGCAGGTATTATCACACCACGCTGACTGGTGGACAGGTCTCCACCGCTGGTATTATCACACCACGCTGACTGGTGGACAGGTCTCTACCGCAGGTATTATCACACCACGCTGACTGGTGGACAGGTCTCCACCGCTGGTATTATCACACCACGCTGACTGGTGGACAGGTCTCTACCGCAGGTATTATCACACCACGCTGACTGGTGGACAGGTCTCCACCGCAGGTATTATCACACCACGCTGACTGGTGGACAGGTCTCTACCGCAGGTATTATCACACCACGCTGACTGGTGGACAGGTCTCCACCGCAGGTATTATCACACCACGCTGACTGGTGGACAGGTCTCCACCGCAGGTATTATCACACCACGCTGACTGGTGGACAGGTCTCCACCGCAGGTATTATCACACCACGCTGACTGGTGGACAGGTCTCCACCGCAGGTATTATCACACCACGCTGACTGGTGGACAGGTCTCCACCGCTGGTATTATCACACCACGCTGACTGGTGGACAGGTCTCTACCGCAGGTATTATCACACCACGCTGACTGGTGGACAGGTCTCTACCGCAGGTATTATCACACCACGCTGACTGGTGGACAGGTCTCTACCGCAGGTATTATCACACCACGCTGACTGGTGGACAGGTCTCCACCGCAGGTATTATCACACCACGCTGACTGGTGGACAGGTCTCCACCGCAGGTATTATCACACCACGCTGACTGGTGGACAGGTCTCCACCGCTGGTATTATCACACCACGCTGACTGGTGGACAGGTCTCTACCGCAGGTATTATCACACCACGCTGACTGGTGGACAGGTCTCCACCGCTGGTAACTCTTCCCGTGTTGGCCGTATTTCCTACTATATTCATGGTACGTTTTGTATAAAATTCACTTGTAACTTTTTTCTTGCCTTTTCTCGAACGAGTGACTCTGACAACGGTCGATCTGTTTTTTTGGTTGCAGTAACGTCCCATTTTCTGTTGTACTTCCAATAGTGACACTCTTTAGTCCAGTTTACTTTGATTCATCCGGCTGTTTTTGTCGTATCTCGATTAGTCCACAGTGTTTTATTTTGTTATTGTCATTATGAAGCTCAGGTATAGAGAGGGGAGTAGCACCCAACCCGCAGCCTGCCCTGAGTGTCCCACAGTCTGATGGATCTGTTGTGCTTTCTTTATATATTCACGGTTTTGAACATCACCGGCCTTTAATGTGTACCTTTGACGCCCGGACCTTAATGTGTACCTTTGATCTCCGGCCCTTAAGGACACTGGCCTGTAGTTCAGTGCCTCTTGCCTGTCGCCATTTTTGTATATTGGGACTACATTCGCCGTCTTCCATATTTCTGGTAGGTCTCCCGTCTCCAGTGACCTACTATACACTATGGAGAGTGGCAAGCATAGTGCCTCTGCACACTCTTTTAGTACCCATGGTGAGATCCTGTCCGGCCCAACAGCTTTTCTCACGTCCAGCTCCAATAGGTGCTTCTTGACCTCATCTCTTGTAATTTCGAACCCTTCCAAGGTCGCCTGGTTTGCTGCCACCTCTCCTAGCGCCGTGACCTCTCCTTGTTCTATTGTAAAAACCTCCTGGAACCTTTTGTTGAGTTCTTCACACACCTCTTTGTCATTCTCTGTGTACCTGTCCTCGCCCACCCTAAGTTTCATCACCTGTTCCTTCACTGTTGTCTTCCTCCTGATGTGACTGTGTAGTAGCTTTGGTTCGGTCTTGGCTTTATTAGCTATGTCATTTTCATATCTTTTCTCAGCTGCTCATCTCACACTAACATACTTGTTTCTGGTTCTCTGGTATCTCTCTCTACTTTCTGGTGTTCTGTTATTACGAAAGTTCCTCCATGCCCTTTTGTTCAGCACCTTTGCTTTCATACATTCCCTATTAAACCACGGATTCTTCTTTTGCTTCTCGGTTTTTTTCCTGTCGGGCCGGGACAAACCTGCTTACAGCCTCCTGACATTTTTGGGTGACATAGTCCATCATGTCTTGTACGGACTTGGTTCTGACTTCTGTGTCCCAATGTATATCCCATAGGAATTTATTCATCTCCTCATAGTTTCCCTTTCGGTACGCCAGCTCTTTATTTCCCAGTTCTTTTTTTGGGGGTGATAATTCCTAGCTCAACCAGGTACTCAAAGCTCAATACACTATGATCACTCATTCCCAAGGGCGCTTCCAACTTAACTTCCCTTATATCCGACTGATTTAGGGTAAATATCAGATTAAGTGTGGTGAGTGTGTGATGAGTGTGGGTACTGTGTGGTGAGTGTGGGTACTGTGTGGTGAGTGTGGTGAGTGTGAGTATTGTGTGGTGAGTGTGGGTACTGTGTGGTGAGTGTGGTGAGTGTGAGTATTGTGTGGTGAGTGTGTGGTGAGTGTGGTGAGTGTGGGTACTGTGTGGTGAGTGTGAGTATTGTGTGGTGAGTGTGTGGTGAGTGTGGGTAGTGTGGGTAGTGTGGTGAGTGTGGGTAGTGTGACGGCCGCGTCTCCCGCAGGCGGAGTACGGGGAGCTCAAGTGGGACCTGATCAAGGAGCACGCCGGCTGCCGCAACATAGAGTTCAACATCCACCACACCTACTCGGACTCCCTCTTCAGGAAGCTGGCCACCGCCTGCGCCCACATCACCAAGCAGGGCGACGAGAACGACCACCTCAGGTTCTTCGGCAGGTCAGACCATCTACTTAACATAATAATAAATAATGATAATAATACAAATAATAATAACGAGACATTTGCCACAGCGACTCTCCAAGAAGTGGCGGGTCTGCGGAAACTACGAGAGGTCCTTAAGAGGCATTATGCCTTCCCGTTCCGTTATAATACTTTCCTTTCTCTCTCTCCTCTCTTTACATCCCCCTTTCCCTTCCTCCCGTCACCTGTTCCCGTTCGTGGCAGAAGAGCAACATTCCGTTACTAGTCGTTGCCTCCATGGAGGGCTGAGGCAGCAGGTCTGGGGAGACTGAGACAACCAGCTGAGACATCTAGCGGGGGCCGCCACCACCTCTGTTCTTCATGTAAACACTTGCCTTTCGTCCCCATAACATGTAGAGTCTACATGGGCAATATGTAACTTAAACCCGATTTTCATTTGTTTGCAACATCCCACACGGAGGACAGAGAATAAGTATATCATTTCCCTATACGTGCCAAAGGTATGGTAGGCCTATTTCCCCTATAATGCCTCTTGTTCCCTATAATGATAGGCTATCTACCCCTTATAACGGAGGCCTCCTTCCCTTTACAATTTAAATTTTGCCCCGAGGGACGAGTTTATTGGGCAGCGCCACTTGTTAGACCACTTACCACCTTATAATGTTTGGCCTCCTACTCCTCTTAACTCTAGGTCCTCATAACCCCCTCACAATGCTAGCAGTGGGTAAGATGACCCCCACATCTGACCCCCACAACTGACCCCCACATCTGACCCCCACACCTGACCCCCACATCTCCCGTCCCACAGATGCTTCGTGAGGTACTGCAGCCATTACCAGTACGACAAGATGCTGAGGGTGACAGGGAGGCACTTCTGTCAGTTCCTCAAGGAGATGGACAACCTTCACTCACAGATGAGGTTTGGGTGAGTCAGTCCACATCACCCATCCAGATCACTCACAAGTCATCCAGATCACTCACAAGTCATCCAGATCACTCACAAGTCATCCAGATCACTCACAAGTCATCCAGATCACTCACAAGTCATCCAGATCACTCACAAGTCATCCAGATCACTCACGATTCTCTCTCTCTCTCTCTCTCTCTCTCTCTCTCTCTCTCTCTCTCTCTCTCTCTCTCTCTCTCCCCCTAGTATTATACCAGGGGAGCTCCACCCCTCACCACTCCTCTCTCACACAAAAGAAAACACTTATCATATGTTTCCCGGACGGCTCTAACGTCTGATGATAATGGCTAAAAGTTTAAGATTATCGCGAGTGTAGCTGTCTGTGTACTCATCAGGTTTGTCCTCACTCATCAGGTTGGTGTTGTACTCATCAGGTTTGTCCTCACTCATCAGGTTGGTGTTGTACTCATCAGGTTTGTCCTCACTCATCAGGTTGGTGTTGTACTCATCAGGTTTGTCCTCACTCATCAGGTCGGTGTTGTACTCATCAGGTTTGTCCTCACTCATCAGGCCGGTGTTGTACTCATCAGGTTTGTCCTCACTCATCAGGCCGGTGTTGTACTCATCAGGTTTGTCCTCACTCATCAGGCCGGTGTTGTACTCATCAGGTTTGTCCTCACTCATCAGGCCGGTGTTGTACTCATCAGGTTTGTCCTCACTCATCAGGTCGGTGTTGTACTCATCAGGTTTGTCCTCACTCATCAGGTCGGTGTTGTACTCATCAGGTTTGTCCTCACTCATCAGGTCGGTGTTGTACTCATCTGGTCTATATTTACTCATCAAGTCTATGCGTACTCATTAAATTCATGTGTACTCTTCAGCTCTTCATTATATACAGGCAGATCAAGCAAGTGCTCCTCGGCTTTTTCTTGCTCTGAGTGCAATGTCTCCCAACTCTCTTCGCTTATTTTGACATGTATCCTTGAAACTATGTATCTTTGACATGTATCCTTGAAACTATGTATCTTTGATATGTATCCTTGAAACTATGTATCTTTGATATGTATCCTTGAAACTATGTATCTTTGATATATATCCTTGAAACTATGTATCTTTGATATGTATCCTTGAAACTATGTATCTTTGATATGTATCCTTGAAACTATGTATCTTTGATATATATCCTTGAAACTATGTATCTTTGATATGTATCCTTGAAACTATGTATCTTTGATATGTATCCTTGAAACTATGTATCTTTGATATGTATCCTTGAAACTATGTATCTTTGATATATATCCTTGAAACTATGTATCTTTGATATGTATCCTTGAAACTATGTATCTTTGATATATATCCTTGAAACTATGTATCTTTGATATGTATCCTTGAAACTATGTATCTTTGATATGTATCCTTGAAACTATGTATCTTTGATATGTATCCTTGAAACTATGTATCTTTGATATGTATCCTTGAAACTATGTATCTTTGATATGTATCCTTGAAACTATGTATCTTTGATATGTATCCTTGAAACTATGTATCTTTGATATATATCCTTGAAACTATGTATCTTTGATATATATCCTTGAAACTATGTATCTTTGATATGTATCCTTGAAACTATGTATCTTTGATATGTATCCTTGAAACTATGAATCTTTGATATGTATCCTTGAAACTATGTATCTTTGATATGTATCCTTGAAACTATGTATCTTTGATATGTATCCTTGAAACTATGAATCTTTGATATGTATCCTTGAAACTATGTATCTTTGATATGTATCCTTGAAACTATGTATCTTTGATATGTATCCTTGAAACTATGTATCTTTGATATGTATCCTTGAAACTATGTATCTTTGATATGTATCCTTGAAACTATGTATCTTTGATATGTATCCTTGAAACTATGTATCTTTGATATGTATCCTTGAAACTATGCACGAATTGAGCTTCTATTAGCTTCCTATTATATTGCAGCTCACTTGACAATATAATCAGAAGGTTTATCACTGGCATAGGAAATATTGTCTTTCTACACCCTCAGCCGAGTCTGTTGGTTCCCTCCGCGTCCTCTCGTCCTGATTCCTCTTTACGAAGAATGTGAAGTGTTTGTCCAATTGGGCAGTCAGTCCACTTGGCTCAGTCCTCTACCTTCAAGGTTTACTCTTGTAGTAAACCTCTGAGTTTTCTTTTAATGTAGTTTTATTACTAAGTGTTAGTATGCATTCCACGCTGGTGCTGCTTCTCCTGGGATCGGTCTGTCACGGGTGGCAAACAACATCCTGAAGTTTTGTTTTGTTCTGAAGGCTACACGACGTTCCTCAGTTTAGCATATGCCGTTGATGTTAATATATGCCTCAAATGACAGCTCTAAGGTTATGCCTACTCCCAGAACATCTGTTCTGTTTTGTTTTTTTACTCAAGAATTTGCCATACCGTCAAGTTGTTCTGTCGTCTGGTCTCGTCACACTGCCTCCCATATCTCAACACCAAGCATTTGCTTGGCTTACAGTCGAGCTCTCGTCTCTCCTATCATCTGTTTCAAGTGTGTTGAAGTCCACCTGAAGCGCCACTGCCTTTGTCACAAGCAGTATGGGATCTCCCTAGAAGGTAGAAGCAATAAATCTCCGAATAACTTTTATACTTTCTGTTTGACGATTATTCTCTCGCCGAGTTAAACATGCTAGACCTATGCAGACGAGGAGTCACAATAACGTGGCTGAAATATGTTGACCAGACCATACACTAGAAAGTGAAGGGACGACGACGTTACGGTCCGTCCTGGACCATTCTCAAGTCGATTGTGTCGTCGTCCCTTCACTTTCTAGTGTGTGTTTGGTCAACATGCTAGACTTATGTTTAAGTTTAACATAATGTTCAAGTAGAACAGATGCTTGTCTTTCACATTTGCATACATCTCGTGTATGAAACAGTGTCGAAGGTATCCTGGCAATCCTTGAAGATGCAGTCAGTCCATCCTGCTCTTTTATGTGTGTGAACAGTAGTATCTTGTTATGGCATATTTCAGTATTGCGAGACAAGGCTTGCCTCCTGTGAACCATTCTTGAAACGTTTTTCACGAAATTTGTCTCGTTTGATTAATAGTTCCGTCTGTCTATATTCATCTTCTTAAGCTCCAACTTAAGTATGCCAACTGTCATCCAGCTTCACCCCCAGCTCCAGTCAAGAGCTCTTGATAATTGAAGTTAGTTCAGAGTTTCCCCGGCATACTTTACCATCCTTGGGAACGCTTTGTTATGGTCGTAGAACTTTCAGATCATCCAGATCTTTCACGTTCTTTTGTTGCTGTCCTTGATGCATAGTCTCTATCTCGTGACTGTCCTCTCCTCTACCTCCCGGTGCTGCTCTACCTCCCTGGTGCTGCTCTACCTCCTGGTGCTGCTCTACCTCCCTGGTGCTGCTCTACCTCCTGGTGCTACTCTACCTCCTGGTGCTGCTCTACCTCCTGGTGCTGCTCTACCTCCTGGTGCTGCTCTACCTCCTGGTGCTGGTGCTGCTCTACCTCCTGGTGCTGCTCTACCTCCTGTGCTGCTCTACCTCCCTGGTGCTGCTCTACCTCCTGGTGCTCTGCTCTACCTCCTGGTGCTGCTCTACCTCCTGGTGCTGCTCTACCTCCTGGTGCTGCTCTACCTCCTGGTGCTGCTCTACCTCCTGGTGCTGCTCTACCTCCTGGTGCTGCTCTACCTCCTGGTGCTGCTCTACCTCCTGGTGCTGCTCTACCTCCTGGTGCTGCTCTACCTCCTGGTGCTGCTCTACCTCCTGGTGCTGCTCTACCTCCCTGGTGCTGCTCTACCTCCCTGGTGCTGCTCTACCTCCCTGGTGCTGCTCTACCTCCCTGCTCTACCTCCTGGTGCTGCTCTACCTCCCTGGTGCTGCTCTACCTCCTGGTGCTGCTCTACCTCCTGGTGCTGCTCTACCTCCCTGGTGCTGCTCTACCTCCTGGTGCTGCTCTACCTCCCTGGTGCTGCTCTACCTCCTGGTGCTGCTCTACCTCCCTGGTGCTGCTCTACCTCCTGGTGCTGCTCTACCTCCTGGTGTTGCTCTACCTCCTGGTGCTGCTCTACCTCCTGGTGCTGCTCTACCTCCCTCTGCTGGTGCTGCTCTACCTACTGGTGCTGCTCTACCTCCTGGTGCTGCTCTACCTCCCTGGTGCTGCTCTACCTCCTGGTGCTGCTCTACCTCCTGGTGCTGCTCTACCTCCTGGTGCTGCTCTACCTCCTGGTGCTGCTCTACCTCCCTGGTGCTGCTCTACCTCCTGGTGCTGCTCTACCTACTGGTGCTGCTCTACCTCCTGGTGCTGCTCTACCTCCCTGGTGCTGCTCTACCTCCTGGTGCTGCTCTACCTCCTGGTGCTGCTCTACCTCCCTGGTGCTGCTCTACCTCCTGGTGCTGCTCTACCTACTGGTGCTGCTCTACCTCCCTGGTGCTGCTCTACCTCCCTGGTGCTGCTCTACCTCCCGGTGCTGCTCTACCTCCCTGGTGCTGCTCTACCTCCCTGGTGCTGCTCTACCTCCCTGGTGCTGCTCTACCTCCCTGGTGCTGCTCTACCTCCCGGTGCTGCTCAGTGTGTGGAAATCTGGCTCTAGTTTGATACTACTTAAATACATAATTTTATGAATGCAAGATAATGATTAATTCTAAGATAGCTCGAAGGACCAGAATGCATTATTAAATGAGAAACAGTGACTTATGGATCTATGATTATATGTGAATAAATTCTATTAAGCAATGACTGTAAATTCTATACATTCTAGAGCCAGCCTCCCATGACACATTTTGGGGGGTCTTCTATGAGATTCGTCTATGTGTAACATATATTATGTAATAATAATAATGATAATATACACACACATAGATAATGAGAAAATATGTAATGCAAGAAATACTACTGCAAAATAAAGATTAATAATGAATCAATGCAATATAGTATATATGGACTCTAAATAATAAAAGTACTATCTACAATGAAAACTGATTAAATCTCAGCTGTGACAGAGGGACGTAGATGGAGTCCACTGTACAACAGTCTGGAAACAGCTTGAGATAGCGATACTTAGAACACGTGAGTGTGTGGCGGCCACACGCTTCCTCAGGGGTGTTGCACCATGCTACAATAATGAAATTCCATAATTTCCTCTCCGAACTAGTATTCAAACACATAAATGTAATATCTAAATATTTGGAGGGGAAGGAGCTGCACTTACATGGGGTTATTTTTATCGGCTGCAGCGTCTTGACAGGATACCTATATTTGTTATCATTTGAGCTCAAACTACCACTAAACATGGTAAAAATGCCTGCCGAACTGGTGTCCATGATTCTGGTAAACTGCGTCCTCAATCTGAAGTTCGGCTGTGTACGGATGACTTCTAGATTGTAAGATTTGTTGGGACCGCTTCGGAACACCGTACTGCTAGTTGATCTAATATGGCGAGTCCTCTCTCCTTCCTTCCCGAAAGTCGCGCATGCGCATTAGCTCCCAGTAGGGGCCCGAGCATAAATTATATTGATTTATTAAAGCTAAATAGGGAAGGAAGTGTTTATGAACATTCTTGATAGTTCAATTAAATACTTTATGTGGTGATGTTTGATTCTCACAGTGCAGGTCAGTTAATGTAGACCGCACAAATAAAACAAGACTCGTTATTAGGTGGAAATGATTTTAGATTATGATATTATTTACTAGAACAGCGATCAAGCTGGGTAAAGGAATTCCAGTAAACTGTTGTATACTAAATAAAGTAAACCTATTACTAAATAATTATTCCTAATAAAGGCAAGTAAATGGTTGAACTTCTATTAGATCTACAGATATGTGAAAATTTATTCTCCGTGAGTGGCTGACGCAACACTACACAATTCTAGGAGAAATTACATGATGTTCCACATCCTAATGCAATGAATTCTATGATACTAAACTACGGATTAGTAATGTTAGTTAATTATTACGCTTAGTACAGGAAATACATCCCATTGTAGTAAGGATTAGTAAATGAGTATGAAGCCTAATACAGGAAATACATCCTATTGTATTAGGGATGAGAATAATTGTTGGAAATTTCCAACACTCGGGCTCTGCATGGCCTCAACACTCCTCTATACTTTTGTTTAGTGTTTCACATGTTTCCTGGAGACTTTTGTTTGACAATCTTTCTCTTTTGTCGTTATTTATGTGTCTGTCTGTGTTCTACTCTCAGGGCTTCTCTTCCCCCTGTTCTCTTACCTTTTGTTCTTGCCTTTATGCACTGTTTATCTTCTGCTTAACTGTCCAACCTTTTTTTTATCATTGTTAATCCTTTCTGATCACTGTTCATTATTCTTCATCTCCTTTGATCACTGTTCAACACTGTTCACCTCGTTTGATCACTGTTCACCTCATTTGATCACTGTTCACCTCGTTTAATCACTGTTCATCATTGTTCATCTCGTTTGATCACTGTTCACCTCGTTTGATCACTATTCATCACTGTTCACCTCGTTTGATCACTGTTCATGTGTTCCTCCAGTCTCTCTGACTTGCCTCTCCCTCCGCCAGGTTCCCCAAGATGAAGTCACCATCAATGATGGTGCTGGAGTATGACGCTCACGGTGCGCAGCTCCTGTACCGTTCCTGTCGTACCGGCCTCTCTCACTACCTTGTTGGTAAGTCCCTTGTACCGTTCCTGTCGTACCTCACACACATACTCACGTACATTCACATATGGACATCTCATAATACGTCAATGTAAACACAGGATGTAATTCATGCATGCGCATATCCATATGCATAGTGTACAATACGCGCGGATAGAGATACAGATGTACTCAGTATACAATACGTAAAGCACATACACAGAGCAAATGTACACATGTAAACACACACACACACATGTATCTGTGTGTGTGTGTGTCAATGTCAGCTTCCATGGAGTGTACACTACTGAGCTACACTACAGTCTGCTACCTGGAAGAGCTTCACCTGCTTGAACAAGCCCGTGAGCTCCTGCCTGTAGAGAGGTTACCTCCCTGGGAGGATGACCCACGTAGGATTATCATCAATGAGATGGCAACGAAAAAATCCAACATGTTACCACAAGAAATGAGGCACAAGTATCTCGAGGAATTTATAAAGAAGCCGAAGATGAACTAGATCAAATCTAAACTGACGGGTCATCTAATCCTGTCAATGGCAGGGCTGGTGCAGCATACACGGTAATCAAGGATAATACTTTCCAACGCAGAAATGAAGAAAAAGCACGTATTGAGAACTATGCCTCTTCAACGCAAGCAGAGCTAACTGCCATTGTTATGGCCTTAAGGTTTCTTGAACGGAACACTAATGGTGCAGTGATTTGCACCGATTCAAAAGCAGCACTGCAAAACCTAAGTAAAAATCAGGCAGAAAATCTTGCAATAGTCGCTGAAATTAAGAGAGCTGTGAGAGTACTTACCAATCAGGGAAGAGTCGTCAAGTTTCTGTGGATCTCCTCCCATGTTGGAATATGTGGGAATGAACGAGCAGATGTGCTGGCTGCTGAAGGCGCCATATTGAATACTTCATACCCAAGACTCTACTACAAATTAGAGGTATTGTCAGGCAACATCACCGTGACAAGGTAACTGAGGAAAGGAGGATAGAAACACAAATCAGCGAATCTGTACGATGGTACAACATGGTTGCAGCTGGCAATCCCAATCATTATGACGAAGAGGAGGTGGCCGCGGGAGAGAATCAGTAATAGCAAGAATCCGTCTTGGATACAAATATCCATGGAGATACGGAATGGAAACAACAGTTGATCAGCGAAGTTGCAGAATCTGTGGTGAGAGTGATGGACACCGCCTTGACCACTACCTGAGAGAATGTTAACATCTGAGAGACATTAGAAATATGTGTAGAATATTGTCCCACATTGTCTGAATTAGGAAAACACTATTTGTCAAATATTGACGCTGTTCTTAAAAGATTCCCCCATTTTGCACCTGCAAGATAACGTAAGCTTTTAAGGGTTGACAGATGTTAATCTTCTTGTTTGAGGAGTTGTTCACTTGAGACAGTTAAGCAAGTCCCAGCTGTGTCTGGGTACAAGTGACATTATGAACAACCCAGCGGGTTTTCTTCCTTTTGGAGAGTGTTGTGCATGCTGCTATGGCAGTGTGTCCACTCACAGGATGAGTGGCGCTGCCCAATAAACTCGCCCCTCGGGGTAAATTTTTTTTTTTTACTACTGAGCCTAAACAGCTCTCAGAGCTAGATGAGGAAGCAGCCCCTGACGAGAAACTACTAAATTTTGAGGTAACAGCAGAGGAAGTAAGAATACAGCTAGTGATTATACAGTCACTGAATATAACTAAAGCAGCCCGTCCTCCAAAAATAGGGAGGTAAATGTAACAGCACAAGTAAGTGCAATTATGTACTATTCATAGCAGTCAGGAATTGTACTTATTTTCACTTAGTATTAAACCGTACTGTCAAATATATTGTGAATATTTGAGTTTACCTGAAAAGCTGAATAGAAAACCACAACTTAACCTAACGTTCTTAGTGTTTGAAGATAACCAGTTTATTGCTTCATAATTACAATTAGTACTTAACCTATAGCTATATTGATATTACAGCTTTATAAAACTAATAAAGCAAAACTAAAATATATTCATAAATTGTAAAGTAACTGAGGATATTTTCAAATTTTGAATAAAATCTCTATTTTTAATAAAATTTAAAAAGAAATTCCTGGTATTTAAAACTTGTGTAACGCAAATTGAAATTGAAAACTTCATCCTAAAATTCTGAATGTCTTAACAGAAAACGAGGAGAATAAATGGGGAGGTATATGTAACAGCCCCATAAGTGCAATTATGTACTATGTATGACAGTAAGGAAATGTACTTATTATACTTAGTATTAAACCGTACTGTCAATTCGGAGGATGGGTTGCAGCCAAGCTACTGGGCCAAACAGAATATTCACCATGGATGTTAAAGAAAGCAGCACAGGCCCTCAGCGTACCTCCAGCACAAATCAATAATGAGCCACTTACACAGGGAGAATTGTCCAGCTGCTGAAAGAAGGCAAAGGTGGTGCCATTATACAAGAAAAGAGATGGAGAAGAGGTACTTAACCACAGACTAGTGTCGCTCACAAGCATCCCTCGCAAAGTACTTGAAAGAATTATAAGGTTAAGACTAGTTGCACTCCTGGAAAGAATTAGGTTTGTCATAAACCTCAACACGACTAATTTAGAGCAGGAAAATCATACCTGACGAACTTCCTGGAGATTTATGATAAAGTAACGAAAATAAGCCAAGATAGCAGAATGAGCAGATTGTATATTTCTGAACTGCCAGAAAGTCTATGATACAGTGCCACACAGAAGGCTACTATACAGACTTGAGAGGCAGGCGGGAGTAAACGGAAACGCACTGTCATGGGTAAGGAATTACCTGACAGACAGGTGTCAGAGAGTGACAGTGAGGGGCGAGGAGTCGGACTGGCGTACAGTAACAAGCGGGGTGCCTCAAGGAGCGGTGTTGGGACTAATTCTATTCCTTATTTATGTAACTGACTTGACTGCAGGAGTTGAGGCTTTTATGTCAATGTTTGCAAATGATGCAAAACTAATTGATGAGGGTTGAGACAGATGAGGAGTGTAACATTCTCCAGGATGACTACAACATGCAGGGATAGTCATACAGAGATAGTCCGAGAAATGGATGCTAGAGTTCATCACTAACAAGTGCAAGGTGATGGAAATAAGGACAGGAGCCAGGAAACGGAAAGTCCGGTATACGATGAAGGGAAACTACCTCCCTATAAAGACTAGAGAAAACGACCTGGGAGTGGACCTAACACCAAACTTAACTCCAAAGGCTTATATAAATAGAATAACGTCAGCCGCATACTCTACTCTGGCAAAAGTCAGAACATCCTTCAGAAACTTTAATAAGGAGGCTTTCAGATCACTGTATACCGCCTATGTGAGGCCAGTCTTAGAGTATGCCGCACCATCCTGGAACTTGCATCTAAAAAAAACACGTAAAGACACTCGAAAAAGATCAGAAGTTTACAACGAGACTCGTCCCAGAGCTGCGAGGGATGAGGTACGAAGACAGACTGGAGGAACTAAACTTGACGACGTTATGAGGGTGGAGGGAGAGGGGGAACATGATACAGACATATAAAATACTTAGAAGGATTGACGAGGTGGAAACAGACGAAATATTTACAATGAATAACAATAGAACAAGAGGGCACGGATGGAAGCTTGAGATTCAGGTGTGTCATAGAGATGTTAGAAAGTTTTCTTTTACCGTAATAGTAGTAAGTAAATGGAGCAACCTAAAGGAGCAGAGTGTTGAGGCTAACTCCATTCATAACTTTAAAAGCAGATATGATAGGGAAATAGGACAGGAGTCATTGTATTAGACAACCAACGGCTAGAAACGTGGGGTCCAATAGCTAGAGCTTGATCCTGCAGGCACAAACAGGTGAGGACAAACAGGTGAGAACACACACGGCTGAATATTGACAAAGTTCAGAAATATTGTTTACTGACAAAGAGTTTTAATTTGTTGTGATCATCCCTTGTGAAGTTGGTCTTTGATGAGCCCGGGCCGTGATGCTGGTACATGGTGGGTCTAGTGGTAGGTGGGGGACCAACAGGTGGGTCTAGTGGTAGGTGGGGGACCAACAGGTGGGTCTAGTGGTAGGTGGGGGACCAACAGGTGGGTCTAGGGACCAACAGGTGGGTCTAGTGGTAGGTGGGGGACCAACAGGTGGGTCTAGTGGTAGGTGGGGGACCAACAGGTGGGTCTAGTGGTAGGTGGGGGACCAACAGGTGGGTCTAGTGGTAGGTGGGGGACCAACAGGTGGGTCTAGTGGTAGGTGGGAGACCAACAGGTGGGTCTAGTGGTAGGTGGGAGACCAACAGGTGGGTCTAGTGGTAGGTGGGGGACCAACAGGTGGTAGTGGTAGGTGGGAGACCAACAGGTGGGGGACCAACAGGTGGGTCTAGTGGTAGGTGGGGGACCAACAGGTGGGTCTAGTGGTAGGTGGGGGACCAACAGGTGGGTGTAGTGGTAGGTGGGGGACCAACAGGTGGGTGTAGTGGTAGGTGGGGGACCAACAGGTGGGTGTAGTGGTAGGTGGGGGACCAACAGGTGGGTGGTAGGTGGGGACCAACAGGTGGGTGTAGTGGTAGTGGTAGGTGGGAGACCAACAGGTGGGTGTAGTGGTAGGTGGGGGACCAACAGGTGGGGGACCAACAGGTGGGTGTAGTGGTAGGTGGGGGACCAACAGGTGGGGGACCAACAGGTGGGTCTAGTGGTAGGTGGGAGACCAACAGGTGGGTGTAGTGGTAGGTGGGGGACCAACAGGTGGGGGACCAACAGGTGGGTGTAGTGGTAGGTGGGGGACCAACAGGTGGGTGTAGTGGTAGGTGGGGGACCAACAGGTGGGGTGGCACCAACAGGTGGGTGTAGTGGTAGGTGGTGGACCAACAGGTGGGGACCAACAGGTGGGGGACCAACAGGTGGGGGACCAACAGGTGGGGGACCAACAGGTGGGGGACCAACAGGTGGTAGCGGCTGGTGTGTCAAGTCGTTGTAACTTTAATGAAACTATCGATCTTTCCAGCGCGACGGCCGCCGACCGTACGGTACGACGCCTGAACTGTTAGTGGGAGGGAGGGTGAGGGAGGGTGAGAGGGGGGGTGGGAGGGAGGGTGAGAGGGAGGGTGGGAGGGAGGGAGAGAGGGAGCGTGGGAGGGCCGCGGTGATGCTGCGAGAAGATGGGGAGAGGGAGCAAAGAGATAAAGTAAGGAGAGAGTAGATAGGATGATGATCTGGGTAGCAGCATGAGAGAGAGAGAGAGAGAGAGAGAGAGAGAGAGAGAGAGAGAAGGGAGGGGGGGAGGAGGGTATGGGTATCTTGGGTTCACATGTCGAGTACACAACACTGTTGACACTGTAAGTATACAACACTGTGTAATTAGCAAGGTGTAGTTACAGGATGAGTGCTCCGCTCGTGGTGTCCCGTCTTCCCAGTACTCTTTGTCGATTAACATTTTGAAATTATTGACGGTTTTGGCCTCCACCACGTTTTCAACCGCAAAAGTAAGGTTTCTAATGTTTTTTCGAAAGCTGTGTGTGTGTGTGTGTGTGTGTGTGTGTGTGTGTGTGTGTGTGTGTGTGTGTGTGTGTGTGTGTTCTCACCTAGTTGTACTCACCTAGTTGTTCTTGCGGGGGTTGAGCTCTGGCTCTTTGGTCCCGCCTCTCAACTGTCAATCAACGGGTGTACAGGTTCCTGAGCCTATTGGGCTCTATCATATCTACACTTGAAACTGTGTATGGAGTCAGCCTCCACCACATCACTTCCTAATTCATTCCTTTTGTCAACCACTCTGACACTAAAAAAGTTCTTTCTGATCAGAGAAAAAGATCTCTGTGGCTCATTTGGGCACTCAGTTTCCACCTGTGTCCCCTAGTGCGTGTTCCCCTTGTGTTAAATAACCTGTCTTTATCTACCCTATCAATTCCCTTTTGAATCTTGAATGTGGTGATCATGTCCCCCCTAACTCTTCTGTCTTCCAACGAAGTGAGGTTTAATTCCCGTAGTCTCTCCTCGTAGCTCTTACCTCTCAGCTCGGGTACTAGTCTGGTGGCAAACCAGGGTGAGGTCTGGTGTGTGTGTGTGTGTGTGTGTGTGTGTGTAAAATTACCCAACTGCTCATCTGCCTGTCAAGAATCCCTTTCACCTTGTAATTATCATCACCTGCTGATGGTGGGCTACTCCTCCCTCAGGTCAGCTTCTGCAGATCGCCAGAGACTTCTTCAACATGACCCTCAACGTGGAGATCCTGCGGGAGGAGACAGAAGGCTCTTCCTTCTGCACCACCTTCAGGTAACTGCACCACCTTATACCTACTCCAACCCTCCGCCTTCAGGTAACTATTAGTTCCATCTACATGCAGATAATTCACTCCCCTCACTGCCTTCAGGAGCGTGTTCCCCGGCCCTCCTCAACCCAGCCTTCAGGAAACCCTCACAGGTTCCCGTTGCACCTTCAAGGAACATGGACCCTCTCCCTTCACCTTCTTAAATAAAGAACACCTTCCCTCTCTCCTCCCACGTGACCCCTGGACACTCGGGCCTTGGCCGCCTGGTTGCCCGCCCACAACAGTTGCCGCTCTACCACTCAATGTTAGAAGTAATGAAACCCTGAAACCTTTGAATGTCCTCCGAGTTCTCCCGCCCAGCTGCTTGGGCGGGAGAACTACAGGCTTTCGCTTTTGTGGCATTGGATTCAAGGCTCCCATAGCCGCCGTGAGAGTTTTATTGACTTACATAAATATATATATATATATATATATATATATATATATATATATATATATATATATATATATATATATATATATATATATATATATATATATATAATCTTATATGTATTAGCCAAGTGGTCGGGTTCACGTAGTCTCTATTCATTAGGTCATGTCTCATGTATATTTATAACCCAGTCTCCCAGTGACCCAATTACACCCTGTAACTACAGCCAGTTATTGCCTAACTGCCTTTCATTATGCAATCACAAGAAATTACCTAATTTTTAGTAATATAGTAAAATGGCCGCTTGCCATTAGTGGGGGAAGGAAACGCTGTATTTGTTATTCAGCTCTGATAATTATGTTTCAATGTTATGACATAACGACTATCCGTGTGTGTGTGTGTGTGTGTGTGTGTGTGTGTGTGTGTGTGTGTGTGTGTGTGAGCGGAAAGAAAATTAGTTAGTAGTTATGTTGAGACGATTTCGGGGCTTAGCGTCCCCGCGGCCCAATCCTCGACCAGGCCTTTTTGTTACACAGACCCCAGGAAGCAGCCCGTAGCAGCTGTCTAACTCCCAGGTACCTATTTACATATAAATACATATTTAGAAGTGTTATGTGGCACTTTAGGAAGTGTCATGTGGTGCTTCAGTAAGTGTTATATTGTGCTTCAGTAAGTGTTATGTGGTGCTTCAGGAAGTGTCATGTGGTGCTTCAGTAAGTGTTATATTGTGCTTCAGTAAGTGTTATGTGGTGCTTCAGGAAGTGTCATGTGGTGCTTCAGTAAGTGTTATATTGTGCTTCAGTAAGTGTCATGTGGTGCTTCAGTAAGTGTTATGTGGTGCTTCAGGAAGTGTCATGTGGTGCTTCAGGAAGTGTCATGTGGTGCTTCAGTAAGTGTTATATTGTGCTTCAGTAAGTGTCATGTGGTGCTTCAGGAAGTGTCATGTGGTGCTTCAGTAAGTGTTATATTGTGCTTCAGTAAGTGTCATGTGGTGCTTCAGTAAGTGTTATGTGGTGCTTCAGGAAGTGTCATGTGGTGCTTCAGGAAGTGTCATGTGGTGCTTCAGTAAGTGTTATATTGTGCTTCAGTAAGTGTCATGTGGTGCTTCAGTAAGTGTTATGTGGTGCTTCAGGAAGTGTCATGTGGTGCTTCAGTAAGTGTTATGTGGTGCTTCAGGAAGTGTCATGTGGTGCTTCAGTAAGTGTTATATTGTGCTTCAGTAAGTGTCATGTGGTGCTTCAGTAAGTGTTATGTGGTGCTTCAGGAAGTGTCATGTGGTGCTTCAGGAAGTGTCATGTGGTGCTTCAGTAAGTGTTATATTGTGCTTCAGTAAGTGTCATGTGGTGCTTCAGTAAGTGTTATGTGGTGCTTCAGGAAGTGTCATGTGGTGCTTCAGGAAGTGTCATGTGGTGCTTCAGTAAGTGTTATATTGTGCTTCAGTAAGTGTCATGTGGTGCTTCAGTAAGTGTTATGTGGTGCTTCAGGAAGTGTCATGTGGTGCTTCAGTAAGTGTTATGTGGTGCTTCAGGAAGTGTCATGTGGTGCTTCAGTAAGTGTTATATTGTGCTTCAGTAAGTGTCATGTGGTGCTTCAGTAAGTGTTATGTGGTGCTTCAGGAAGTGTCATGTGGTGCTTCAGGAAGTGTAATGTGGTGCTTCAGTAAGTGTTATGTGGTGCTTCAGGAAGTGTCATGTGGTGCTTCAGTAAGTGTTATATTGTGCTTCAGTAAGTGTCATGTGGTGCTTCAGTAAGTGTTATGTGGTGCTTCAGGAAGTGTCATGTGGTGCTTCAGGAAGTGTCATGTGGTGCTTCAGTAAGTGTTATATTGTGCTTCAGTAAGTGTCATGTGGTGCTTCAGTAAGTGTTATGTGGTGCTTCAGGAAGTGTCATGTGGTGCTTCAGGAAGTGTCATGTGGTGCTTCAGTAAGTGTTATATTGTGCTTCAGTAAGTGTCATGTGGTGCTTCAGTAAGTGTTATGTGGTGCTTCAGGAAGTGTCATGTGGTGCTTCAGTAAGTGTTATGTGGTGCTTCAGGAAGTGTCATGTGGTGCTTCAGTAAGTGTTATATTGTGCTTCAGTAAGTGTCATGTGGTGCTTCAGTAAGTGTTATGTGGTGCTTCAGGAAGTGTCATGTGGTGCTTCAGGAAGTGTCATGTGGTGCTTCAGTAAGTGTTATATTGTGCTTCAGTAAGTGTCATGTGGTGCTTCAGTAAGTGTTATGTGGTGCTTCAGGAAGTGTCATGTGGTGCTTCAGGAAGTGTCATGTGGTGCTTCAGTAAGTGTTATATTGTGCTTCAGTAAGTGTTATATTGTGCTTCAGTAAGTGTCATGTGGTGCTTCAGTAAGTGTTATGTGGTGCTTCAGGAAGTGTCATGTGGTGCTTCAGTAAGTGTTATATTGTGCTTCAGTAAGTGTCATGTGGTGCTTCAGTAAGTGTTATGTGGTGCTTCAGGAAGTGTTATCTGGTGCTTCAGGAAGTGTTATCTGGTGCTTCAGGAAGTGTTATCTGGTGCTTCAGGAAGTGTTATCTGGTGCTTCAGGAAGTGTTATCTGGTGCTTCAGGAAGTGTTATCTGGTGCTTCAGGAAGTGTTATCTGGTGCTTCAGGAAGTGTTATCTGGTGCTTCAGGAAGTGTCATGTTGTGCTTCAGTAAGTGTCATGTGGTGCTTCAGGAAGTGTTATCTGGTGCTTCAGGAAGTGTTATCTGGTGCTTCAGGAAGTGTTATCTGGTGCTTCAGGAAGTGTTATCTGGTGCTTCAGGAAGTGTTATCTGGTGCTTCAGGAAGTGTCATGTTGTGCTTCAGGAAGTGTCATGTGGTGCTTCAGGAAGTGTCATGTGCCCAATAATTCTGTCATCCACATGTCATCCCTTTCGTGGTCATACTCTGCTACCTAGTCAATATAAGAGAGATAGTGACCGTTACCCAGTCAATATCTCTGTTATTAAAATCACTGAGTACTACAAATTTAGCTCTTGATGGGCTTGTCACCACTACTGCCTTCTCTACCACCTCACATTGTTCTCTCCTGGTCCTCCCAGTGTTAACCTGGGATTGAACATGATCACTATGACAACCTCTGCCTTGGATATTCCTTAAATCATAGAAATTTTAATATAAGTTTTTTTCCACCTCCTCCACTGTTTCTTCTATCTTTCGGACTATCTATATACATGATAGTCCCTTGGAAACACTTCACTCCAAACATTTAGTTTATTTTGGTTTCTGTAATTACAATGATATGCGGCTGCGTTTCCTACACCCTTTCTTGAATTTCGCCCGTTTTGTTTGTTATACCATCTGTATTTGTGTATATTACTTGAATGATGTTCGAGTAATAGCAGGATAAATCTATATGTATAGAAGAGACATTCTTGCCCATTGTGTTATTGTATTATGTAGGTCAAGTGGGGGGTCCAGAGCGGGGTCGGTGTTCATGTGCCGCTGCTGTTTGCTGCAGTGAACACATGTGTGATAACGGTCTACCAAGTCTCATGTTTGCCTTCTGTCTTTTCTTTCAACTATTTTTCTCTTTTTATAAGTCATTCTTTCCTTTCAGACATGTCCTGATTTAGTTCCACCTGCTGATGCTTTTTTCGCCTGCCCGAGTTGCTTTTTTACACCGGCATGTGGTCCATTAACTTCTAACTGTTTAATATTAATTTAACTGGTCATTCTTGCCCTGCTTTGTACTGCCCTATCCTGTCATGTTCCTCGAGCTCTCATGTTGCCTCACTCACTCCATGTGTCTGCACGAGAACTGTCATCTGCCTCTCCTACCTTGCCCTTCACTCCGGCTCTGGTAACAAGAGTATGGTTGCTTTGGTGCTCTTTTCAAGCCCTGAGCCTCTCACAGCTGCTGCGAAGGCTGTGTCCTCCTCGTTCATTACCTCTTCTACTATCCCCAGTTTTTTGTATATTCTGGGGGACCATTAGTCTCAAAACTTCTGTATCCTTACTCAGATCTTTTATGATTTTCACTTCCTCTCCTTTACCGTCTTCTATCGTCTTATGTGTCTCCTCCACAGACTCTCAGTGTCTTTCTTCAGCTCCTTCATCCTCCTCCGACCACAACAAAATATTTCAAACATTTTCTCTCTATCCTGCTTACTCTGTTCTATCGACTGAACTGTTTTTATTTCTGTATCTATTAACTTTTCCTTTAATTATTCTTCCATCAGCACTTCTTGTTGGTCTCATAACTTGGCTGACTTCTTCTTGAGTTGATTATTCTGCTCCTTCATCCCCACTAATTCATTTTTAACAAATTCTCATATTTAACACTTTTACCTCAATTTTATTGATAATTATCGAATACTGCCACGTGCTCCCATGTTGCTCCTTCCCCGCCCTGCTTCTCCTCCCATGTTGCCTGAGTCTCCCTTCTCCTCTTTTTCCCTCCGTTCTCCTTGTCATAAATTATGCGCTTCTTTTCTTTGGCCATTAAATATAATGTTCCTCCTTTACAGTCTACTATGTCTTAATATTTTGTGCCAGCTGCCACTTACCTGGTGTGACTTAACTGGGCGAGATGTGTCGCCTCCCTCGGGGCTTGTGGGCGCCATCTTCTCATAACCTCTTAGGAAACTATGGACGGAGGTAACTCCTATAGTTTAGCTTCTAGTTTGTTTCTTATGGTTACTGTCCTTGTGGTTAATTGTTTCTTGTCTGACTTCCTTGTTTGTCTGACTTCCTTGCTTGTCTGACTTCCTTGTTTGTCTGACTTCCTTGTTTGTCTGACTTCCTTGCTTGTCTGACTTCCTTGTTTGTCTGACTTCCTTGTTTGTCTGACTTCCTTGTTTGTCTGACTTCCTTGCTTGTCTGACTTCCTTGTTTGTCTGACTTCCTTGTTTGTCTGACTTCCTTGTTTGTCTGACTTCCTTGCTTGTCTGACTTCCTTGTTTGTCTGACTTCCTTGTTTGTCTGACTTCCTTGCTTGTCTGACTTCCTTGCTTGTCCATTCGTTATGTTACTGCTCAACCTAGCCGAGTTGTTACTATTTCATCGGTGCACATTAGTATTTTGTATATCAGGGTCGTGATTTCTCTTACTCTTCATTCTTTCAGTGATCCTAGGTTGAGCTTCCTCATCACATTCTACGTGTGCTGTAGTACACCTTAGTACTCTCTCGGTGTTCGTTCTTTGAACTCTACCACTGGTGGTCGGGCATATATGGTATATTATTATATAATATTATACTGTTGTTCAGCAGCTGAGGTATATACTTTACTCGTCATCAAGAATCATTGATATGATTCTCTGTCATGTATGCATTCTATAAATAGCAATGGATATAGAACTGATCCATGGAGATCAGTTCTACATCCCACAGTGAAATTACCTTACTGTGATCTGGTCCCTTAATCTTACAGTGTTCAGTGTTTGTTCTGTAGCGTAACACCTAGTTTAGTGCGTTGCTAGTTACTGTGGTCTGGCTGTTAAGGTCGAGAAGAGTAATCTACCGTGAGACACTGACACACACATTCTCAACATCTAGTAATATGCAGGTTGTCCTCCTTTCCTCCCTTTATTAACTCAGTCATTCTATCGTAGGACTCCAGTAGGTTTGTTTGGCATGACTTTGTTGTGTCGTTTCTATGCAAGATATTTCATTATATTTTAGTCTTATTATTCTTCGTAGTACATTGGATGGTATGCTTCAAAGGGGTCCTGGTCTGTGGCTGAGTGGTTCCCGTCTGTTCCGCTACCAGTTTACGCGTATGGCGGGCCCTTTCCACCAATTTGGCACTTCCCGCTCTTCCTCCTCCATCTAAAATGACGCAATGAAGCTCATTTTGAATGAATGGTTTGTACAGGATTTCTGCAGCTTTTCCTGGGATCAATAGTGAGATCCTGTCAGTTCCCACAACCCTTCTTACTCTCAAGTTCCTGAAACTGGTCCTTATCCTCCTCCTCTGTGACATTCCTCTGTTATGCTGTTATTATACACAATTGAATCTCTGATAAGTAGTTGCTCTAATTTAATCTCCACTTGGATCCTTTCATTTAACCTTCACATATGTCCCCGTCACTCACTGTTATCTCTGCACTTCTCTTGGTCAACCACAAGTAGCCTGTTCTCTCATACTAACTCCTTGTCATCATCACCTTTAGCCTGTCAAATTGTTTACTTCCAAGTATCTTGTACGTTGTGATCATGTTTCTTCTGTTTCTTCTACAATGACATGAAGGTTCACAGCTCTTAGCTTTCAGTTCTGAGACAAGTCATGTGTTGTGTGTGAGTGTGTAGTCAGTGTTAAGTGAGGTGTTGTCAATGATAAGTCAGGTGTGTGTGAGCGAGGTGTCAGATGTTATCGAGTGCCTTCATCCCTCCTCCCTCCCCTCAGACTTGACTTCAACAACGTGGGCTTCGTGTCGGAGATGCAGAAGCGAGGAGCGTGCTTCAACAGACCACACTTACCCAGCTTTGACATCAGCAAGTTGGTAAGTCTGACCTCCACACGTGAACCTTCTCCGCTCCTGACCAGGGTTTCAAACATCTGGGGACGTCTCCACACACCTGTGGTAGCCTCCACACACCTGTGGTAGTCTCCACACACCTGTGGTAGTCTCCACACACCTGTGGTAGTCTCCACACACCTGTAGTAGTCTCCACACACCTGTAGTAGTCTCCACACACCTGTAGTAGTCTCCACACACCTGTGGTAGTCTCCAGTAGTAGTCTCCACACACCTGTAGTAGTCTCCACACACCTGTAGTAGTCTCCACACACCTGTAGTAGTCTTCACACACCTGTGGTAGTCTTCACACCCCTGTAGTAGTCTCCACACACCTGTAGTAGTCTCCACACACCTGTAGTAGTCTCCACACACCTGTAGTAGTCTTCACACACCTGTAGTAGTCTTCACACCCCTGTAGTAGTCTTCACACACCTGTAGTAGTCTTCACACACCTGTGGTAGTCTCCACACACCTGTAGTAGTCTTCACACACCTGTAGTAGTCTCCACACACCTGTAGTAGTCTCCACACCCCTGTAGTAGTCTTCACACACCTGTAGTAGTCTTCACACCCCTGTAGTAGTCTCCACACACCTGTAGTAGTCTTCACACACCTGTAGTAGTCTCCACACACCTGTAGTAGTCTCCACACCCCTGTAGTAGTCTTCACACACCTGTAGTAGTCTTCACACACCTGTAGTAGTCTTCACACACCTGTAGTAGTCTTCACACCCCTGTAGTAGTCTTCACACCCCTGTAGTAGTCTTCACACCCCTGTAGTAGTCTCCACACACCTGTAGTAGTCTCCACACACCTGTAGTAGTCTTCACACACCTGTAGTAGTCTTCACACACCTGTAGTAGTCTTCACACACCTGTAGTAGTCTTCACACCCCTGTAGTAGTCTTCACACCCCTGTAGTAGTCTTCACACACCTGTAGTAGTCTTCACACACCTGTAGTAGTCTTCACACACCTGTAGTAGTCTTCACACACCTGTAGTAGTCTTCACACCCCTGTAGTAGTCTTCACACCCCTGTAGTAGTCTTCACACACCTGTAGTAGTCTTCACACCCCTGTAGTAGTCTCCACACACCTGTAGTAGTCTTCACACACCTGTAGTAGTCTCCACACACACACCTACCTTCCCTCCACCACTGGTACCTCCCCTCCACCACTGGTACCTCCCCTCCAACACTGGTACCTCCCCTCCACCACTGGTACCTCCCCTCCAACACTGGTGCCTCCCCTCCAACACTGGGGTCTCCCCTCCACCACTGGTGCCTCCCCTCCAACACTGGGGTCTCCCCTCCACCACTGGTGCCTCCCCTCCACCACTGGTACCTCCCCTCCAACACTGGTACCTCCCCTCCAACACTGGTACCTCCCCTCCAACACTGGTACCTCCCCTCCAACACTGGTACCTCCCCTCCACCACTGGTACCTCCCCTCCAACACTGGTACCTCCTCTCCACCACTGGTACCTCCCCTCCACCACTGGTGCCTCTCCTCCAACACTGGGGTCTCCCCTCCAACACTGGGATCTCCCCTCTATAGATAAATAATTACCTGACCCACTTGGGACACCAGTCACCACCAGACACCACCAGAGGCCACCAGACACCACCAGAGGCCACCAGACACAACCAGAGGCCACCAGACACCACCAGAGGCCACCAGAGGCCACCAGACACAACCAGAGGCCACCAGACACCACCAGAGGCCACCAGACACAACCAGAGGCCACCAGACACAACCAGAGGCCACCAGACACCACCAGAGGCCACCAGACACAACCAGAGGCCACCAGACACCACCAGAGGCCACCAGAGGCCACCAGACACCACCAGAGGCCACCAGACACAACCAGAGGCAACCAGACACAACCAGAGGCCACCAGACACCACCAGAGGCTACCAGACACCACCAGAGGCCACCAGACACCACCAGAGGCCACCAGACACCACCAGAGGCCACCAGACACAACCAGAGGCCACCAGACACCACCAGAGGCCACCAGACACCACCAGAGGCCACCAGACACCACCAGAGGCCACCAGACACAACCAGAGGCCACCAGACACCACCAGAGGCCACCAGACACCACCAGAGGCCACCAGACACCACCAGAGGCCACCAGACACCACCAGAGGCCACCAGACACCACCAGAGGCCACCAGACACCACCAGAGGCCACCAGACACCACCAGACACCACCAGAGGCCACCAGTCACCACCAGACACCACCAGAGGCCACCAGACACCACCAGACACCACCAGAGGCCACCAGACACCACCAGACACCACCAGAGGCCACCAGACACCACTAGAGGTCACCAGACACAACCAGAGGCCACTAGACACCACCAGCGACCACCAGAGTCCGCCAGAGTCAACCAGAGGCCACCAGACACCACCAGACACCACCAGAGGCCACCAGTCACCACCAGAGGCCACCAGACACCACCAGACACCACCAGAGGCCACCAGACACCACTAGAGGTCACCAGACACAACCAGAGGCCACTAGACACCACCAGCGACCACCAGAGTCCGCCAGAGTCAACCAGAGGCCACCAGACACCACCAGACACCACCAGAGGCCACCAGTCACCACCAGACACCACCAGAGGCCACCAGACACCACCAGACACCACCAGAGGCCACCAGACACCACTAGAGGTCACCAGACACAACCAGAGGCCACTAGACACCACCAGCGACCACCAGAGTCCGCCAGAGTCAACCAGAGGCCACCAGACACCACCAGACACCACCAGAGGCCACCAGTCACCACCAGACACCACCAGAGGCCACCAGACACCACCAGACACCACCAGACACCACCAGACACCACCAGACACCACCAGAGGCCACCAGACACCACTAGAGGTCACCAGACACCACCAGCGACCACCAGAGTCCGCCAGAGTCAACCAGAGGCCACCAGACACCACCAGACACCACCAGAGGCCACCAGTCACCACCAGACACCACCAGAGGCCACCAGACACCACCAGACACCACCAGACACCACCAGACACCACCAGACACCACCAGAGGCCACCAGACACCACTAGAGGTCACCAGACACCACCAGCGACCACCAGAGTCCGCCAGAGTCAACCAGAGGCCACCAGACACCACTATAGAGAACACCAAACACCACTAGGAGTCACCAGATATCACCAAAGGCCATTAAACACCATCGAGAAATCAACATACAATTCCCTCTCTCAATTATCCATGGATCAGCACCCAATCCCAAGCATACATCAATCTGCACCCAATATGAACCAAGCCTTTGATCAGCCCCCAATCCCAACCGTCCAGTGACCAGGACCATTGCAGCGGCTCTCTCATGCCGCGCTCTTTCATCCCACAGTCCGAGTTCTTTCCGTTCTGCATCGTGCTGGACCGCGACCTTCACGTGCGTTTCGCTGGGGATCGGCTTCTTCAGCTCCTGGGAAGAGACTTGCTGGGGGCGGAGTTCTTGAAGCACTTCAGCGTCCAGCGGCCACACGTCGCTTTCTCCTGGGAGGCGGTGAGTTACAGCTGGCATGTCTAGGCTCAGACATTGTTGGCAACGGGTTGGGGTCCAGGCAAAGGGTTGGGGTCAGGCAAAGGGTTGGGGTCAGGCAAAGGGTTGGGGTCCAGGCAAATGAATAGAGGTGTTTTATACAAGGGGTCGAGGGACTGTAGAGGACCATCTTACTTTTGGCTACACAGAAAGAATTTATGTTTTTAGAAGTAAACATAGTGTGGTTAGACTGGTCTGGTTCGCTCTACCAGCATCATCGGGACACAACTAATGGTCCTAAGTTTCAATCTCCGCGGCAGGACAGAGGCGACTGGGCAACGTTTCCTTTCACCCGATCCCTCTGTTCACCAAGCAGTAAAAACAGGAACTCGGGAGTTAGGAAACTGTTGTGGGTTGCATGAAAGGGAAGGTCATGAATAACCGACCTAAGGTGGCATCTCAATAAGCCTAACACGCCTCACGTCCCCAGCTATGCAAAACCCATGAAGGGAAGCTTTGTGAGAAGCTGTTGTCCTGTTCAGATACTCTCACATATATGTATAATCTTGTCTGTTTAGGAGCTACACCAAGATGTATTATTGCTTCAAATATATATTCATGTTAATGAAATAAGGTGTGTTCTGTTGCTATTAATTGGCAAACACCCCCCACTCCTTTAAGCCACAGTGCCCCAGGGCGCCACACCCCCCCTAAGCCACAGTGCCCCAGAGCACCACACCCCCACTAAGCCACAGAACACCAGAGCACCACACCCCCACTAAGCCACAGAACACCAGAGCACCACACCCCCACTAAACCACAGTGCCCCAGGGCGCCACACCCCCACTAAGCCACAGTGCCCCAGAGCACCACACCCCCACTAAGCCACAGAACACCAGAGCACCACACCCCCACTAAACCACAGTGCCCCAGGGCGCCACACCCCCACTAAGCCACAGTGCCCCAGAGCACCACACCCCCACTAAGCCACAGAACCCCAGAGCATCACACCCCCACTAAGCCACAGTGCCCCAGAGCACCACACCCCCACTAAGCCACAGTGCCCAGAGCATCACACCCCCACTAAGCCACAGTGCCCCAGAGCACCACACCCCCACTAAGCCACAGAGCCCCAGAGCGCCACACCCCCACTAAGCCACAGTGCCCAGAGCACCACACCCCCACTAAGCCACAGTGTCCCAGAGCACCACACCCCCACTAAGCCACAGTGCCCCAGAGCATCACACCCCCACTAAGCCACAGAACACCAGAGCACCACACCCCCACTAAACCACAGTGCCCCAGGGCGCCACACCCCCACTAAGCCACAGTGCCCAGAGCATCACACCCCCACTAAGCCACAGTGCCCCAGGGCGCCACACCCCCACTAAGCCACAGTGCCCCAGAGCACCACACCCCCACTAAGCCACAGTGCCCCAGAGCATCACACCCCCACTAAGCCACAGTGCCCCAGAGCACCACACCCCCACTAAGCCACAGTGCCCCAGAGCACCACACCCCCACTAAGCCACACACCGCCGGCAGATCACAGCGTTCCAGAGCGTGACGTGGGAGGTGGTGTCGAAGAAGCTGCCTGTGCCAATCAGCGACATCAACAGAGGCGCCCACGCGGGTGCCACAGGTGCGCCAGCCGCTGCTGCGCCCGCTGCCACAGACACCACCTCAGGTGCAGCTGCAGCAGGTGCCACAGAAGGCGTGCCAGGCGTTGCTACAGCGGGTGCCACGGAAGGTACAACAATGCCAACGACAGCTGATGAGACGGGCGGTCTTAGAACCAACAGCCTCATCACTGTCAGGGAGAAGTAAGTGTTTGACAACCTGTTGTCGGAAATTTCCGACACCCAAATACTAACCCACTCGTACAGTGAGATAATTTATTGTGCTGGGAAATCAAATTTACTAACGCTACTAACAAGTAGCGAAGTACCACCAAATTCTCTCTAATATCAATGCCACTGTTATATCAGTTGCCCATTTCTATTAGAATTAACTATTTATATAAATAGAATTAAAGCAAGTCTAACCTTTGTTCAATTTACTAGGAAAAATATCGATTGGGAGTTAATTTAATTCGTTAGAGCAAATTATATCTCCGTTTTAGATAAAGTTTCCACAGCTGCGATAAGAGAATTCCAGCTGGGTAAAAGTCACGAACTGAATATTATCTATATATATCCGTTGTTTATCTAACGACACTTTGGTTAAATAATACACACAGCGAAAAATCATCTGTTGCTACCTGGAGTGTTTTATTATGACGTTAGATATCGTCGGCAATGCTTTAATCAGATCGTAAACCAAAATAAAATATCGTGATTTATATGCCAAGCTCGTGCACAGTGAGGGAGCGAGGTGGCGCGCGCGTCACTACCCACTTGCCTAGAGACTTAGCTAAGGAGAAGCCATCTTTGATCGGTGTCCCGGAGCTCGCCATTATCATCGTCTATAATACGGATCATCCGAGCATTATCGGATCCCAGACTTTGCTACCAGCTTCATCTGTTATTGAGGACATCGCGTCCGGTTGAATGAGTTAACCTTTTTCACGTTTTATGGCCATAATCCAACGCTAGACCATCAAAAAACACAGTGGTGTTTTTTGATGGTCTAGACTGATGGTGTAATCAATCAACCCCGTTTCAATGAATGTTTGTGGATATATTCGTAGTCATATAGAAATTACATAGTGTTAATTTCACAGAGTAGAGTTTATCTACGAGAGGATCGCCCTTCCGGTGAATCACGTGTCTGCCACATCAACACGCCCAGACAGGATTAGACTAGTTACTGACGGCTGTCTGACGCATTCTACCTGAACTGCTTGACAGCTAAGATTTTGTTTCTAGTTATAATATTGTAGTTAGTCTACTAACTCTATAACTTGATTAATTAATGAAATTTATTATTGAAATTATTTCAACATATGTAATAGGTAGTTCCAGCATTATTGGTTCTACCCCCCAAAAAGTATGCAGTGAAAATTATCTAAGTAACGTTTAGAAGTTTTACAGTTCACTTCTCTAATATTTATTTTAATCAATTATTTACTTTAGTATTATAACCAATTATATGTTGGAGAGTTTTCCCCAGACCTGTCTAGTGCCACAGTAGTCACTTGTCCACCAGGAACACCATCTCCGATATGAACACAGTAATAAACTAACACCTCAGTAAGCCTATTGGCACTTTTATTTACTAAATCCTTTCATCTACCGAATCCTTCCATCTACTAAATTCTAAGCAACTGCTGAGGGCTTGCATCATGGGGAAAAATCAGTAGTTCAACCTTAGGAAGGCCCCCGATACAACCCTTAAGTATATATACACAGGCTTCCTAGATCCCAAACAAGATATATTATCATAATTATTATTGTATGTTTGTTCAGCCCGACGCGTCGCGGGTCGAGCCAGGCGCCGTGGACGGCCCACGAGTCCTCCCTACACAGCGTCAAGGGGCTCCTGCTCAAGGGACAGATGTACATCATCAAGGAGTCCAACATCGCTCTCTTCCTGTGCATACCCTTGTGAGTCCCTCGGTGATGGTAGGCAGGTGTGGGCAGTGCGTGACGGGTGTGTAGAGCGTGACGGGTGTGTAGAGTGGGTGGTATGTATTAACCTAGTTGTACCTGCGGGGGTTGAGCTTTGGCTCTTTGGTCCCGCCTCTCAACCGTCAATCAACTGGTGTACAGATTCCTGAGCCTACTGGGCTCTATCATATGTTCATTTGAAATTGTGTATGGTGTGTGTGTGTGTGTGCGAGTGCCTGAGGTGACGAGTGGGTGTTTGTGTGGGTGTAGCAGGTGTATGCGTTGACCTGTGTATTGACCTGCATACTGACTTTGACCTGTGTACTGACCTTGACCTGTGTACTGACCTTGACCTACATACTGACCTTGACCTATGTACTGACTTAGACCAGCATACTGACCTTGACCTGTGTACTGACCTTGACCAGCATACTGACCTTGACCTGTGTACTGACCTTGACCTGTGTACTGACCTTGACCTGTGTACTGACCTTGACCTACATACTGACCTTGACCTGCGTACTGACCTAGACCAGCATACTGGCCTTGACCTGTGTACTGACCTAGACCAGCATACTGGCCTTGACCTGTGTACTGACCTTGACCAGCATACTGACCTTGACCTGTGTACTGACCTAGACCAGCATACTGACCTTGACCTGTGTACTGACCTTGACCTGTGTACTGACCTTGACCTACATACTGACCTTGACCTATGTACTGACTTAGACCAGCATACTGACCTTGACCTGTGTACTGACCTTGACCAGCATACTGGCCTTGACCTGTGTACTGACCTAGACCAGCATACTGGCCTTGACCTGTGTACTGACCTTGACCAGCATACTGACCTTGACCTGTGTACTGACCTAGACCAGCATACTGACCTTGACCTGTGTACTGACCTTGACCTGTGTACTGACCTTGACCTACATACTGACCTTGACCTGCGTACTGACCTAGACCAGCATACTGACCTTGACCTGTGTACTGACCTTGATCTTCATACTGACCTACCGCACCAGTTCACTAACGCGTGTTGAACCCGTTGCAGACTGAACAACCTGGTGGAGATGCGGGAGATGGGCATCTACCTGAACGACCTGAGCATGCACGACATGAGCCGGGAGATGGTGCTCATGGGCTGGGAACACTGCTCCAGGTCAGCCTCCGACCCGCTCCTGGCAACACTGATCCCTCCACCTAGGCCTTCCTATTTCTTCTCTTCCTTCTTTGTTATTATTTTTATATCTCCATTTGCTTTATCTAATTATATGTTTACCGTTCAGTCAGGCTTAAAAGTTGAGATACTTGTGTATATTATAACCTGTCTGGTGAAAGATTAATATGTCATTGTATAGAAAATATGGTATTTGGCCTACAATTTGTGAAGTGTTCACTCGGCAGTTGTGGTAATGTGCGCTGTCACAGTTCTGTTCCTGCGGGCCGAGTGTTGTGTTCTGATGGCTTATGCCTCCAAAATATGGAAAATGGTTGTTATTCTCCATAAACCTTTCCTTTGTGACCTGAAGGTCAGCGGAGACTTTAAGATGGTGCTATTCCTTAGGGTGTGGAATGTTCTCTGTAAGGAGGAACGGGGGAGTACTGGCGGACCCCTGGTAGGTAGTGACGTCACCACTGCACATCGGATTGGGCCGCATGAAACACCGTGTCTCAGCTCGAGATAAGGAGTCAGCAGCCTTCAAGTACCTTCAAGATGTCTTCACTAAGCTGTCTGAGGCAAATGTCAGTTTTTTCGTCGGATCACAGATAAAGAAGTGCAAGGAATTCACCAAGAAGCTTACTAGGAAGGAGAAAGGAGTTTGTCGTAGTAGGTCGGGGCTTCCAGGGCAACCACAAGACCCAGAACTATGTGGAGTTGATTGAGACTTTGATGAATAACTACGGCACAATGGGCTGCAAGATGTCTCTCAAGGTCCATATCCTTGGTGCTCATCTTGATGAACTCAAGGAGAACACGAGGGCGCACTCGGAGGAGCAAGGTGAGCGCTTCCCAAGTTCCACCAGGATATACTGGACTGTGAACGCCGCCACCAGCCACAGCATGTTGGCAGGCTGCGTGTGTGGACTGAGTCCTGGAGGCTATGTATAATACAATCGCGGATCTTGAAATATTACTCACGTCTAAGTTTCTTGTATAACTTTAGTATAAATACATGCTAGCTTTGATTTATACGTTGTTTTTCTGACTGCGAACAAAATGGCGCAAAATCGCCCATTTTCTCATTGGAAATTAGTACATTTCAAATTACCAAAAGTTTGTGGGCAACAATAGCCGTTTTCTATTCACTTTTAGACATAATCAATTAGTAAATAACACTCATCACCCATGGAACAGAAATTGTGTTGCATTTTGTATGCAGCCGACCTCCTCCACGACGACCAGGAGCGTCTAGTTTGTGTTAGGTTAGAGTCTGTGCAGTAAGGAAGTGATAAAGGAGACATCTTTTTATCCCCTGTGTGAGCCTCTCTACGTCCTCCTGCCAGGGTGGAGATCATGTACAACAGGGCGGAGGAGTACTCGAGCAGACTGGAGGACGCCCACAGGAAGCTGGAGGAGACGAAGGCCTGGAGGGACGACCTCCTCTACTCCATGTTGCCCAAGCAGGTGGCAGACTTCCTGAGCCAGGGTAACGACCCCTACGAGACGTGTCAAGTAGGTTCTGCACGCCGTTCATCGTTACTCACACCCCACACCCCACAACACACACACATACACACCCCACACCCCATAACACACACCCCACACACACCCCCACAACACACACACCCCATATAACGCTGGGACGAGTCTTGATGCAAACTTCTGAACCTATTCCAGTTTCCTTATGTGTTTCTTCAGGTGGGGACTCCATGATGGGGGTGACATACTCCAAACTGGCCTCACGTAGGCAGTGTAAAGCGCCCTAAATTCCTCCTTACTTAAGTTTTTGAACGATGTTCTAACTTTTGCCAGTGTAGAGTACGCTGCTGTCCATATCCTATTTACATGTGTCTCAGAAGTTAGATTAGGTGTTATGTTCACACCCAGGTCTCTTTCTCGAGTCGTCGAAGGTAAGCAGTTCCCCTTCATTGTGTTCTGTCCCTTTGGTCTCCTGTCACCTAATCCCATTTCCATAACTTTACATTTGCTCGTGTTGAATTCCAGTAGCCCTCTCTCTGATCATCTCTACAACCTGTTCAAGTCCTCTTGGAGAATCTTACAATCCTAATCTGTCACAACTCTTCTCATTAACATTGCGTCATCTGCAAACATTGACATGTAGGAGTCTACTCTTGTAAACATGCCATTAACATATATTAGAAATAGAATTGGTCCCAGCACCGATTCTTGAGGTACTCCACTCGTTACTGTTTTCCAATCCGACTTCTCGTCCCTTACCGTTATTCTCTGGCTCCTTCCTGTTAGGTAGTTCCTTACCCATGCTAGGGCCTTTCCATTTACTCCTGCCTGCCTCTCAAGTTTGAATAGCAGTCTCATGTGCGGTACTGTATCAAAGGCCTTTTGGCAGTCCAGAAATATGCAGCCTGCCCAACCTTCTCTGTCCTGCCTTATCCTCGTTATTTTATCATAGAATTCCAAAAGGTTGCTAGGTAACATTTTCCTTTCCAGAACCCATGTTGATGTTTGTTCACAAACCTAACGTTCTCCAGGTGTGCGACTAGTCTTAGCCTAATTATTGTTTCAAGTATTTTACAGGGGATGCTCGTCAGTGATACAGGTCTATAGTTAAATGCCTCCTCCCTATTGCCTTTCTTGAAAATCAGTAAGACATTTGCCCTCTTCCACTCTTCCAACAATTGGGCAATTCTCCCGACATAAGTGATCAATTATAGATCATTGCCAGAGGCACGCTGAGGGCCTGCGCTGCCTCTTTTAGTATCCACGGTGATACTTTGTCTGGTCCAACCGCTTTAGTTGCATCCAGTGTTGTCAACTGTTTCATTACCGCCTCTGCTATCACCTCTATATCTGATAGTCTTTCATCTAGGGTAATATCTTTTAACAATGGGAGCTGCTCAGGCTCGGTAGAGAACACTCCATGGAAACTGGCATTCAGTGCCTCGCAGATTTCCTTGTCTCTTTCAGTATATGCCCCTTCTGTTGTTTTTAGTCGTATTACTTCGTCGTTCACCGACATTTTTCTTTTTATATGGCTGTGTAGTAACTTAGGTTGCTTTTTCGCTTTGATCGCAATATCGTACTCATAATTTCTTTCCGATACTCTTCTTATGTTAATGTATTGGTTCCTAGTTCTGTTGCATCTGATCCGGTTGTCCTCCGTCCTTTGTCTTCTATACTTCCTCCATTTCCTCTTGTTTCTCATTTTTGCTTCCTGACACTGTCTATTAAACCATGGGTTATTATATTCCCTCTTACTTTTTTCCTTTACTGTTGGTATAAATTTCTCTTCGGCCTCCTGGCATTTCCGTATGACTAGCTCCATCATATCTTGGACTGTTTTTCCTCTAATATCTTCCTCCCACTGCACTTCACCCAGATAGTCCCTTATCCTCCTGTAGTCCCCTTTCCTGTAGTCAACTCTCCTTTCCTAGACCTCTTGTCCCATGGTCACAAGTTTGAATTCCATCATGTAGTCAAAGACTAGGACATAATGGTCACTGGCCCCTATAAGTATTTCATGTTCCAAATTCTCGATGTCTTCTACGTTCTGGGTGAAAATCAGGTCTAATAGGCTAGGTGTATCCCCTCGTCTTTCCCTTGTGTCTTCCTTCACATGTTGTGCTAGGAAATTCTTGTTTATAACATCTACTAACTTTGCTCCCCACGTTTCTTCCCTGCCATGGGGATTCCTTGAATCCCAATTTACCTTACCATGATTTAGGTCCCCCTATGACCAGCAGTTTTGCTCTCATTCTGTGGGCTAGTGTTGCTGCCTTCTGCAGTTCATCTATGCATGCCTTGTTGTTGTCATCATACTCCTACCTGGGTCTTCTACTGTTTGGAGGGGGATTGTAGATTACCAAGATCACAATCTTCCTCCCATCTACTGTCAGAGTTCCATGTATGAAGCTTGTGCTCTCATTGGTAACCCGATTTTCCAGGTCTTCAAACTTCCATTTCCGCTTTATTAGGAGTGCCACTCACCCTCCCTGTCTTTGTGTCCTCTCTTTTCTTATCACCTGGTACCCATCTGGAAAGATCGCATCCAGGATCATGCCATTTATTTTAGTTTCCACTATTGCAACTATGTCAGGATCTGCCTCACTAACTCTTTCTTTTATCTCTTCTGCTTTATTAGATACCCCATCAGCATTGGTGTACCAAACCATGAGGTTCTTCATGGAAAATCTGGTACCAGAGTTCTCCCTTTCTCTGAGGGTCGGGGGGATCTGGGGGGGGGGGGCGAATGGGATCTGGGCATCTAGGAAGGTAGGTAGGAAGGGCTGTGAGTGAGTGTGTGTGTGTGTGTGTGTGTGTGTGTGTGTGTGTGTGTGTGTGTGTGTGTGTGTGTGTGTGTGTGTGTGTGTGTGTGTGTGTGTGTGTGTGTGTGTGTGTGTGTGTGTGTGTGTGTGTCTATGTGTGTTTGTAGAAAAAAAAATCAGTTGACTGATTAACAGTTAAGAGTCGGGACAAAAGAGCCAGAGCTCAACCACCGCAATCACAACTAGGTGAGAACACGCACCACACAACACACCAGGCCAGCGTTTCCCAACCGGGGTTGCCCGGACCCTCAAGGTTACACGAGAGATCACTTGAGGTTCCGCAAGAGACAGTGATAAACAGGCAGTTGTTCTTACGTGTGTGAGCAAGACTTTCCTCATTTAAGCAGTACCAAGCACACAGACAGAAATCATCTCCTGTCAGTTGAATATGAAATCTGTGAGTTTATCTAAAGTTCGGCTATGAATGAAGTATTTGTGCACCTGAAGACAAGTCCAGGTTTCACATTAGAGAAGCAAATTGCATTATCTAAATTGACTTCAAGTATAGCATTGTCTTGACTCACACATCTGATCATATTTGTCTTGAGTTATCTCATGCTTTTTCAACATTGTCAATGTTTATTTTTGTATTACAAATATGGTTGCCTTTTTGCGATTAATAAATATATGATTTTGAGATTAATAAATAAACATATTTTATAATAATATTTATCCAGAGGTTTCTTGAGACATGAAAATTATTTCAAGGGGTTCCACAAGGATAAAATGGCTGAGAAACATTGTACTAGACACACTCACACACTTGACACGCCACAGCACATTAGACACACTCCACAACACACTAGAGACACTCACTCCTCACCACACTAGACATAATCCACAACACCCTCCACAGCACACTAGACACGCCACAACACACTCCACAACACCCTCCACGACACACTAGACACGCCACAACACACTCCGCGACACACGAGACACGCCACAACACACTCCGCGACACACGAGACACGCCACAACACACTCCGCGACACACTAGACACACTCCACAACACCCTCCACAGACACTAGACACGCCACAACACCCTCCACGACACACTAGACACGCCACAACACCCTCCACGACACACTAGACACGCCACAACACCCTCCACGACACACTAGACACGCCACAACACACTCCGTGACACACAACACACTCCGCGAGACACGCCACAACACACTCCGTGACGACACACTAGACACGCCACAACACACTCCGTGACACACTAGACACGCCACAACACACTCCGCGACACACTAGACACGCCACAACACACTCCGCGACACACTAGACACGCCACAACACACTCCGTGACACACTAGACACGCCACAACACACTCCGTGACACACTAGACACGCCACAACACACTCCGTGACACACTAGACACGCCACAACACACTCCGAGACACACTAGAGCCTAGAAGCGCAAGCAGTGTTCCTTGTAGCAGTGTAATCACACTGTAACAAGGTCATTCGCTATGTGCTCCCCCATGCTCAATACGTGGGGTTTAGTGTGGACATGTGTGGACGACCTAGTGTTAAGGTGTTGTACTGACTCTCTGCTCCTTGCCCAGACGCTGGAGGAGGTGTCGGTGCTGTTCGCCGAGGTGGTCTTGTCGAGGGAGAGCGAGTCCATGGGAGCCATGGATGTTATGAGGACGGTCAGTGAGATGTACAAGTTGCTTGACCGAACCACCGACCAGTATTCAGTCTTCAAGGTGGGTCCTCCTCAGGTCGTGCTCACACTGTCATCAAGGTGGTGGTCCTCAGGTCGTGCTCACACAAAGACCCACACCGCTACTGGGTCTCACGGAGTGTGAGACCAACATCAGACCATCAATTAAACACACTCATCTAAAGGCTCATATCTCCACGCCCCGGCAGCCTTATGGAATGTTCCTCCACTCTGTATTTCCCCGACACCTTTGATCTTTAATATTTCAGGAGTCGTGTGTGGCGTGTTCGGGCCGACCACGACGTGGAGAAACGACAACAATACTGTAGTAGACTTTATCTGTAGATAACGTTTCTCAGTATCTTCTTGATAATATATGATAGAAGACTTGCATGCGTAAGATGGTCTTCCTTGATCTTTAACTGACTTATTTTTCTTTTACTGAACTGTTAATATAAAGGCAAAATTTGCTAATTAACATATTTTTAAAGGAGTTTCTATTTAAACTTTCCTTCACATACAATTTTATCCTTTTCAACATTGATCTTCTTGAAGCTCTTCTTTATTCTTAAACTTTGTTCAAAGTCCTCAACCTCATGCTGGATTAAGTAAGGTTAAAGCTGGTTATGTTAGGGTTAGGTTACATTGTTAGGTTTGATCACGCTTGATTTAGTTATGTCAAGTCAAATCAGGCCAGATTTTGTTAGATTTATTATAGTCAGTTGAGTTCTAAATAAAATTCATGGCATTGTCAATGGAAACCTACTTTTCTGGGCGAGCCCCATCGGCTCCCTGAAGCTATCAAACATGTGTTAAATTAGTTTGTTGCCATCAGTCCTTGGAGTTCAAGTGCCTACCAGAGGCCACGAGCCAGAACCTGGACCCCTCAGAGAGACGAAGGAAGCAATGGCCACATGAGCTCTCTATATTTAGAGTTTGTCATGTCTGCCATCGACCGGGGATACCACCAGAAAGGTCGGCGAACCATTACAAACTTCTAACTGGTTAAAATTACAACCTACATCCGAACAGAGCCAAAGAACTCCCCCCAAGACAAAACAAGGCAACAAGCAATACGTCATCCAACCAGCCCGCCTGCTTGCTGTGCCCCCCCCCCCCTCCCTGGACAGGGGAGGCGGGGGACCCCGCTCAGGCCAGCCTGCCGTACCTCCCTCATTTCGTAGACTGATGTGCCAGGTGTCACATGTCCTCTCTAGCCTCAATTTATTGTCTGGCTTTGGGTTTGTGACTTTGTGACCACCTGTATTGTGTGGTGGCCAGGTGTTCCAACAAGTATACTGGGCTGGACGTGCCTAGAGTTCCCTTCCCTAGGTTCCCGCTTAGTACTTCCGGGAAGTACTTAGAAGTACTAAGTACTTGCGGGTCCGGGTTCCCTACCCTAGGTCGTTCGGGTCTCGCTCCCGTTTGAGGACTTCATTGCTTGGAGTTGTTCTCACCCTTGGGATTCCCGTCTTGCCCTGGGGTAGGAAATGGGTTTGTGCTGGGTGGGGCAGCCGGCGCAGTTTGCAGTCAGCGGCGGCTGAGGATTCTCTCTGGGGACTGGTTAGTCTGAGTGTGTGTTGCTTCAGGGTACTTTTTGTTTCTTTGTTTTAGCGAATACTTACTATCTTGCCGGAGGAGGTCTGCCTAGCTTTCCATTAGGCTAGCACTAGGTTGTGTTTGGTAGTCCTTATCTGTTGCCCCGAAGCTTCACGGCGACGCCGGTTGTCAGTTTGCCTGCACCATACAGGGATTTCCGGCTTAGCTGGCCCCAGTGACTGGGCTTCCCATAGGGCTAATGTACCCTACGGGCTCCTGGAAATCCCCGTATGGCTCGTGGGTACCATGGACGTGTCTTCCAAGCCCTGTCTCTCCTTGTGTGATGCCGAGGGGTGTTCGTTGCCTTTGCCTCATAGTGACGATCATCCATCCTGCCTCTATCATGCTACCTGTTGGGTCGGAGACACCTGCGACCCTGAGACTTGAGGGAGATGTTCCCCGCTTGTTATTCAGTTTACCCACTCCTCGTCTGAGGATGTTAGGGGTCAGGCGGCGGCTTGGATGCTTGCTAAGGTATTCTGTGTTGCAACAGGCCAGGTTGGTTGCCCGGTTGGCAGTCCCGGACCTGCTCTATTTGGATTTTAAGGAACAGGATTTAGGATTTATGGACATTGGTTATTCCAACCTTGGATCAGTCCGCGCCCTTGCTTGCTTCCCAGGCGGGTGCAGTTGTCGGAAATCCGACACGCGTTAACATAGTATAGTTAGCCATTACCAAATTTAAAGAGAATGGGAGTTTTTCGTGACGTCATCACAACAAACTCATTTACACATCACGTATATTTAAATTCCACAATTATTCCTTAAACGACAGTCTAGTGTTTAAATTTAATAGAAAAGTATTCACTAGGACTGGATATAATTAATGATACAACAAAATATAGCTTAGCTCCCTTGTTACTGTTAAACAAACTCAGAATATTGGGGAAAAATATTGTTGGAGTGAGAGAGACGCCTGAGGCAGAGCGAGTCATGCTCTCACACTCACACACAGCTGTATCAAAAAAAAGGGATGGGAAACAGAGTGTCTCCCTGAGGTTCGCATTCGCGGCACTGCAGAGGTCTGACATTAGACCACCCAATAGTGATCCAGCCACAGCGACCTCTACATCATATCCATGAGAAGTATTGTATCCGGTAAAACAAATTGTGTACATGATTGTAGTAGCCATTACAAATTGTGTGCATGGTTTGCAGGTTATAATATGCCAGCAACCCAAAACCAGGGTAAGCTTGGGTTTTACTAATACCATAAAGATTCTTTGTCATATAACACACTTGTGAATGCAGTTTAGTTCTCTGTAATTTATTCATAGGGTGTTGTTCAAGGGATGGAAATTGCTGAGAAGCTGGTTACTACCTGCAAGAACAATGACTTTTTGCACACACTAGCTGCTCCACAGACGCCATATGAGTGCCAGCCGCCTTTACCTGGCACCTGAACCACATGTGCCTCAACCCAACACATGTAGGAACAGCCTAAACAGGCCATAGCAACTATCACAGTTAAGGTCACCAATTTACTTTATATTAACTCAGAAGATAACTGTATTATTAATATATACTAAATATAAATAAATAATAAATATTATGGTGGTCTAATTACTACCATATATGGTATAATTTATATCAAGTGACGATAAATGTTTAGAGCTTATTAAATAACCACCAATTGTGGTATAAGCTGTACACATCCCACCCAACTATGTGTAGCAGGTAAAACCTGGCAGGTTGAATTTAAAATACAGTCCACTTAGAATCATAATTCAATATTGAAGTAAATAAAAAATTAAAATATATAATCACTAATTAGCACATACTGCCTGCAAGGATTACCCTATAGTTGTGCCTCCTGCTACTCCCCCCCCCCCCCACTGCCTCCGGCTCCTTAACGTCTGAGGGTTTCCAGGCTGGGGCAGGCAGCTTGTGAAGAGGCTCGGGTGGCTTCGGGGGCTGCCCCTTCCAACTTGCCCCTTCCATCTCTGAGACGGAGATTGAGCCCGAATTCCTCGCCAAAGCTTCGGGGTCGGCCCAGCAGACGCCTCTCATTGAAGCTTTTCCCTTGGACTCTGCCTTTTCTTCAGTAATAGTGGGCTCAGCCTCTAGGCCTGTGTCGGGGTTCTCGGGGCTCGGGGAGAGTCTGCTTTTCCAAGGCTCGTATCTTTCGGGCTGTTCGCAGGGGATCCCCGCCGCGAAGAATCGTTGTTACAACCACGTACACATTTTACTGTTGAGTTAAACAGAGGCTACAGTTAAGGATTTGCGCCCAGTAAATCCTCCCCGGCCAGGATACGAACCCAGGACAAAGCGCTCGCGGAACGCCAGGTGAGTGTCTTACCACTACACCACGGAGACTGTGACGCAAGGGTTTTGGAAACTTAACAGGATCTTGGCCGCCAGATATCTTGTTGTCAACTTCCCGGGCCTTCTGCGGCCTTGTGTTGCCTTGAGACTTGTGTCGCGGGAAGTTGTTTCATCTTCGTGGTGAGCCCTGCGGTGCTGCTGCCTCCCAGGTAAGTCCCTGTGTTACTTATCTGTGAGTAGATTGCTTTAGGGAGCCGACGGGGCTTCCCTCAGAACACCAGCGTTATGAAATGCCATTTTCTGGACGAGCCCCGGAGCTGGCCTCCCCCCATTGTCGGGGAGGGTGAGGCACTAACTAGCAAGCGCACTGATTGGATGACGTGTTGCTTGTTTCTTTGTTTTCTCTTGGGGGGGGGGGAGTTCTTTGGCTCTGTTCGGATATAGGTTGCAATTTTAACCAGTTAGAGGTTTGTAATGGTTCGCCGACCTTTCTGGTGGTATCCCCGGTCGATGGCAGACATGACAAACTCTATATAGAGAGCTCATGTGGCCATTGCTTCCTTCGTCTCTCTGAGGGGTCCAGGTTCTGGCTCGTGGCCTCTGATTGGCACTCGAACTCCAAGGATTGATGGCACAAAACTAATATGGCACATGTTAGTTTGATAGCTTCAGGGAGCCTCCGGGGCTCGCCCAGAAAATGGCGTTTCATTACATTCAACGCTCGTTTTCTTAGACGAGAAATTGGGTGTTACGTAACTACTATTCTCTCATACGTCCAGTTTCGTACTAACATCCTGAATCTGATGCAGCACTGAAATAAAACTTGGTTATGTTTCAATACTTACAAAGACAAGCTTACGTATTTGTATTATGTTTTAATACTTAGAAATGCTTACACGAGTGAAGTGAGTCTTTTTATGTGACAATCATAATGACCATGTTATTAAATGTTCTAACTGCCATTGTACGTGGGTGCAGGTGGAGACGGTGGGCGGAGTGTACATGGTAGTGGGCGGGGCCCCGGAGTACCGCCCAGACCACTGTGCCCAGGTGGCAGCTCTCGCACTACACATGCTCAAGGAGGTGGCCATCACTACCCCACACACACACAACCTCAGAATAGGTGAGTGTGACCCCACACACACCCACCTCAGAATAGGCAAGTGTAACCCCCCCCCCCACACACATACACACACAACCTCAGAATAAGTGTGACCCCACACACCCTCAATCTCAGAATAGGCAAGTGTGACTCCACACACAACCCCAGAATAGGTAAGTGTGACCCCTGTGGGAAAACTTGACTCATGTAAATCATTTAAATTGATACTATTTCGATAGCTCACGAAGGACCATCACTTTTTGAGAAAAATTGGAAAACAGGGAAGAGCAAGTGGTTTGATATTTTACTACTTGAACTAGTGTCCTATGGATGTTTTATTTAGTATTACATTGAATATTTAAGGGGACTGTATCTTATGAATCAAATCTTCTCACCCAAAATGGGGGATTACATACAAAAAGATTAATATATCCCAAGCATGATTCTGGCGCTGGTTCTTCGCCAGATTAAGTAATATATAAGTGAATTAAATTGATTATATAAGCATAATTATTTTTTACTTATAAGAGTACAATATATACAATAAAAAATGTACAAAGCCTGACATAGTACATGATAAAGAAACAAAGGAACTCATATGACAACAAGCAGTATGCAAAAACATAAATGCAAGAGCATGAATACACCAGAAAAAATACAAAACATTAAAAAAAAAGAAATACGATCATGCATAACGCAGGATCCACAGGATTAGCACAGAGAAGAACCCCGACAGTCTATGAGTGACTGACCCAATTTACCTGGAACCTCCGACAGTCTATGGGTGATTTTTTCCCAAAAAACAAAAATCACCGTGGATTGTCATCCCTACTACTCAGCCCCACACACCCACAGGCCTTACACACCCACAGCCCCACACACCCACAGTAGCCCCACACACCCACAGTAGCCCCACACACCCACAGGCCTCACACACCCACAGCCCCACACACCCACAGGCCCCACACACCCACAGGCCTCATACACCCACAGGCCTCATACACCCACAGGCCTCATACACCCACAGTAACCCCACACACCCACAGTAGTCCCACACATCTGCTGACGTATGCTCCCCCACAGGTATCCACATGGGTCCGGTGGCTGCAGGTGTGGTGGGCCTCAAGCTGCCCCGGTACTGCCTCTTCGGCGACACCGTCAACACCGCCTCCAGGATGCAGACCAACAGCAAGGTACGCCACCCACGTCTCGCTGCTCTTGTGTACGCCACACTCCGGGGCCAGTCACCGCCACAGTCACCGCCACAGTCACCGTCACAGTCACCGTCACAGTCATAATCACCGTTCACATGCACCAAGTCACTCTCACTCTCACTACCTCCTCACTTGCTACATACATACAAGAGATTTTACAAAGAGTGATGGATTTATAGATAGAGCTAGTACATACAATGCCCAAAGCCACTATTACGCAAAGCGTTTCGGGCAGGAAAAACTTAAATGACTAAAGCTTAAGATTAAAATACTTTGCTTTGATTTACTTGTTATCAGCGGCACTGTTGTGACTCATATTTATAAACATATATACACTTGTCCCTCTATGGAAAATATCTTCCAGAAAACATTGAAAGTATTTCAGAATTCGTCGATCTCTCATAAATAATGTTACCGGCATTGTACCAAGGAGGAGAGACCGCAGACATGAGTGGTACACCTCTGCCCCCTTGTGCTCTGGTCTTGTAGACATTTTCTACACCAACTTTGTTGTCTTCTGCTCAACAGTAACTTGAGGTGTTGAGATTGTTTACTAAAGCACTAATTCCTGCCTCAGATTGGTAGGATCCACGTGAGCGAGCGGTGTGCTCTGCATCTCCAGAAGTTGGACTTTATCACCACCTTCAGAGGAAAGCTTCAGATTAAGGTAGGTGACCCTTATATCATGGTAGGTGACCCTTATATCATGGTAGGTGACCCTTATATCATGGTAGGTGACCCTTATATCATGGTAGGTGACCCTTAGATCATGGTAGGTGACCCTTATATCATGGTAGGTGACCCTTATATCATGGTAGGTGACCCTTATATCATGGTAGGTGACCCTTATATCATGGTAGGTGACCCTTATATCATGGTAGGTGACCCTTATATCATGGTAGGTGACCCCTCAGATCATGGTAGGTGACCCTTATATCATGGTAGGTGACCCTTATATCATGGTAGGTGACCCTTATATCATGGTAGGTGACCCTTATATCATGGTAGGTGACCCTTATATCATTGTAAGTGACCCTTATATCATGGTAGGTGACCCTTATATCATGGTAGGTGACCCTTATATCATGGTAGGTGACCCTTATATCATGGTAGGTGACCCTTAAATCATGGTAGGTGACCCCTCAGATCATGGTAGGTGACCCTTATATCATGGTAGGTGACCCTCAGATCATGGTAGGTGACCCTCAGATCATGGTAGGTGACCCTCAGATCATGGTAGGTGACCCTCAGATCATGGTAGGTGACCCTTATATAATGGTAGGTGACCCTTATATCATGGTAGGTGACCCTCAGATCATGGTAGGTGACCCCTCAGATCATGGTAGGTGACCCTCAGATCATGGTAGGTGACCCTCAGATCATGGTAGGTGACCCTCAGATCATGGTAGGTGACCCTCAGATCATGGTAGGTGACCCTCAGATCATGGTAGGTGACCCTCAGATCATGGTAGGTGACCCTCAGATCATGGTAGGTGACCCTCAGATCATGGTAGGTGACCCTTATATCATGGTAGGTAGGGCCACTCTTCGCTCACTCGCCAGAGCTTACACAAGTCCCAGATCGATTAAAAATTTCATAGAGAAATATAAGATGCCAACCACAATAGCCCGGCTAGTCATATGTCATTCACTTGAATCCTCGCAGATCTTCAACCCTGGGTCTCAAAGATGCTTCAAATTCTGAATATTAAATACATAAACAATTTGGTTTTTGGTCATTATAACTGAAGTATTTTGGTTATTTTCACTCTTTAAAGAATATTAAATTTACTGTTTTTTGTTTACAGTTATTTAAGTAAAAATCTTGAACTTGTGGCCTTTTACACCTGATTAAGAAAATTAATCTTGAATTTGAGACTGTTTACACAATTTAAAAATAATTTCATAGTTTTTTACGTTTTTTACATGTGTTAACCTTAATATTTACATGTGTGTGGAGTGGTGTGGTAACTGTGTGTGTGTCGGACAGGGCAAGGGGGAGATGAACACATACTGGCTCGAGGGGCGCAGACAGGACTCCATGCTCACCTGGAAGTGATACAAGAAGTACCTCTGTGGCCTCCCACCTGGCGACCAGGTCACCTAGCACGCCACCTGGTCACCGGGTCTGTCCCCTGGTCACCTGTCCTCCGGGTCTGTCACCGGGTCACGTATTCTCCAAACCTGTCACCTGTCCACGGGTTCATCTACCTCCCCTGCCACCTACCCACGTGTTTGCCAAGCCGGGGACACCTGGCCACCTTGCTTCTCACATATATAAAGCCTGATGCTTGACCATGTATGATTGCTTTGCTGGCTCCGTGGCCACGTGTCCGTACAGCTGGCCACGTGTCCGTACAGCTGGCCACGTGTCCGTACAGCTGGCCACGTGTCCGTACAGCTGGCCACGTGTCCGTACAGCTGGCCACGTATCCGTACAGCTGGCCACGTGTCCGTACAGCTGGCCACGTGTCCGTACAGCTGGCCACGTGTCCGTACAGCTGGCTACGTGTCCGTACAGCTGGCCACATGTCCGTACAGCTGGCCACGTGTCCGTACAGCTGGCCACGTGTCCGTACAGCTGGCCACGTGTCCGTACAGCTGGCCACGTGTCCGTACAGCTGGCCACGTGTCCGTACAGCTGGCCACGTGTCCGTACAGCTGGCTACGTGTCCGTACAGCTGGCTACGTGTCCGTACAGCTGGCCACGTGTCCGTACAGCTGGCCACGTGTCCACACACCTGGCCACGTGTCCGTACAGCTGGCCGCGTGTCCGTACAGCTGGCCACGTGTCCGTACAGCTGGTCACGTGTCCGTACAGCTGGCCACGTGTCCGTACAGCTGGCCACGTGTCCGTACAGCAGGCCACGTGTCCGTACAGCTGGCCACGTGTCCGTACAGCTGGCCACGTGTCCGTACAGCTGGCCACGTGTCCGTACAGCTGGCCACGTGTCCGTACAGCTGGCCACGTGTCCGTACAGCTGGCCACGTGTCCGTACAGCTGGCCACGTGTCCACACTACCAGAGGAACGTGACACTGTCCTCCACCAGTCAACAACTATTCCTGAGAAGAGATCCTGTTGTGTATGAAGATGCTCGCGAGTCCGTCCATGTGTGATATACTCTGTGTATGCTTGTAGTGTGTGCGAGTATCACATGTATATTCTCTGTGATCGTCTTGGTTATTGTGTCAGGTGAAGGCTAATACAAGCCAGGACCCCGTAGTGTTGACCACCTGGCCAGGACTCGAACCCATCTTAGGAGTAGTGTCGTCCATCCAGCCGCAGAGTCCTAAGCCGCAGTCATCAACACGAACGCGCTGTTTATTCAAAACAGATATATCATCATATAGTATTATATATTATTATGTAAATATTATGTAAAATATTATGTAATTCGTAAAATGAAGCATTTACAGAGGTGGGATTCGAACAGTGAGAGGTCTGTGAAGCACGGTTCGAGAAGTGGTCGAACGTCACCAGTTCATAGATCTACTTGAAAAAAAAATCGTTCGTAAACAACTGGTTTGGCGGCTGGATTAATGCGCATTTGGCCTTTGTTGATGAGGACGGGTTACATGACTAGTGGAAAAAAAGACTCGCTATTTTGTGAATGCTATTTTGGCTGCTATTGGCATTATCGCTTAATGAGTATTTTATTTAATAATAATACTATTATTATTATTATTATTATTATTATTATTATTATTATTATTATTATTATTATTATTATTATTATTATTATTATTCACGCTATAAAATCACAATGGCATGATATCATTATGCGAAAATCATTGGAGCACTCCAAGGACTCGAACCAGCGTTCTGGGTCTTCCCAGCAACATATCTTAATCTACTTGATGCGTTATATACGTAATTTTACCTGGGATTCTACTGAATGTACTAAGGGTCTTGAGGTATTAACCTGACACTACATCAAGCATTTTTACAAATAATTCGCCTACACCCGCACCAGGGTGTACCCGCAGCAGGGTGTACCCGCACCAGGGTGTACCCGCACCAGGGTATACCCGCACCAGGGTGTACCCGCAGCAGGGTGTACCTGCAGCAGGGTGTACCCGCACCAGGGTGTACCCGCACCAGGGTGTACCCGCACCAGGGTGTACCCGCACCAGGGTGTACCCGCACCAGGGTGTACCCGCACTAGGGTGTACCCGCACCAGGGTGTACCCGCACCAGGGTGTACCCGCAGCAGGGTGTACCCGCACCAGGGTGTACCCGCACCAGGGTGTACTCGCAGCAGGGTGTACCCGCAGCAGGGTGTACCCGCACCAGGGTGTACCCGCACCAGGGTGTACTCGCAGCAGGGTGTACTCGCAGCAGGGTGTACCCGCACCAGGGTGTACCCGCACCAGGGTGTACCCGCACCAGGGTGTACCCGCACCAGGGTGTACCCGCACTAGGGTGTAGGCGGGTAATTCGTAAAAATACTTGTTTGGTGTGAGCTGGGCGCCTAAACACCTCCAAGTATATTGACTACACTATCAGGTAAAGTCACTTATAGCGTGTGGTGATCCACTGGGCTATTATTATTACTATTACTGATGACTTAAATAATATTATTATTTACACAGGAAAAGTTACAGTAATGTGATATATGTCACTGAAAAAATCCACTGGAGCTCTGAGGTGACTCGAACCCGCGCCCAGCTTACTGCCACCTCTACCACTGTACCACCTGGACCTAGTATAAGTTATGCATCCTGTATATACGTAAATATTGGAATTGTTCCCCGAGAGGCCTCCACACGTCCTGTCGACTTAGTAGACTCCCAGGCTGTATAACTTACTACAGGGTGAGGGTGGTGCAGCGGTAAAGGTTGCGGCTGCCTTTCCGTTAGTCGCGGGTTCGAGACCAAGCAGTCCCCCGTGCACTATCCAGGGGGACAGTGTGAGCATGCCCCCCCCCCCCCCCCACACACAGTGCCAAGTGCTAAACCAAATTTATTTTAATTTTTTTTATTTTCAAATTACGTTCAAATTCGGCCATACGGGCAAACGGCCAAAAGCGACGTTCTTTTTAAGAGGACAGGTTGTCTAAACCGCATGAAAAGTGTGGCCTCCACCCCCCCCCCCCCCCCCAACTTGGTTGGACGGTGAAGCGACAGTTTCGCTTCATGCAGGTCGGCGTTCAATCCCCGACCGTCCAAGTGGTTGGGCACCATTCCTTCACCCCGTTCCATCCGAAATCTTTATCCTGACCCCTTCCAAGTGCTATATAGTCGTAATGGCTTCACGCTTTTCCCTGATAGCTCCTTCCTTCCTTCCTTCTTTCTTTCTTTCTTTCTTTCTCTCTCCCTCCCCCCCCTCCCCCCCCCCCCCTCTCTCTCTCCCTCCCTCCTTCTCACACACACACACTATTCCTAATGCTAAAAATATATCTCCGGCGTGTATATTAATCATGTGATTAATGAACATAAAACCCTAACGTGATAATGTTGGTGGGAGGCGTTAGCTAGGCCTGGCGGGAGGGGACGCCGCTCTCTGGCCTGACACAAGCCGGCCATTCATCATCTCTCCCCTTAATAAAGAGTAAATCAACACTCCACGTGGAGCACCAGGCTTGTTGACCACTCCTGGGTCACTGAGGACATCTACCCAAGTATAATACAGTATACTTGTTATACGTAATAAAGTAAACTGCTTGTATAGATTGACCGACGAGCAGGATGCGTCCCTGTGTTGGTGATGCATCCCTGTGCTGAAGTTGATATATTGACTCTCCGAAGGTCAGTTTATAGTGTTAATACGGCCTGACACGTGTATCAAAGAATGCGTTCCCCTCCAGTACTCTTCAGCATCTTCGGAAGCAGAGGGGAAAGGAATCACAAATGAGCAGAGAAGTGAGGTGGTGGGCCTGTCATAAGGACAGGTAAATCTTAATCTGCATTCTCATTGGTCGACTGAGAAAGGTGTGATGTCAACTGGTAGTTCTGTCCTGGTCTTGTTGACGTCAGGACGTCACTAGGTGTACTCGGGCTGGTGAGTATGGGCTGAAGGTGCCTCGACTATGTCTGATCTGTTGTTGTAGCTGCTTCTGTTGGTTACTTCAGTGTTGTTGGTCAGGATATATGTGGCGATGGTCAGCTTCTGTGTCTGTGGTCTGTGAGAGAGCGTTGCAGCGTGTGCATTGTCAGGCAGCTTGCAGGAGATGTTACAGACTTGCCTGCACACAGTGGACGCTGGAGAGATTCTTCTGCTCCTCGGGGGCTAAGCAGGAACCTTATTTACATGCGTGGAGCGTATCAGTCTTGAATGTTACAATTCCGAGTTCAGTCCCCAATGATCCAAGTGAAATATGATATAATATATATATATAGGTTATATAAAATCGGAAACTTTATGTTTACAAACCTCTATGTATTATGTATATATGTATATATTATAGCAAACAGTAGCCTATATTTTATGTAATTTTAAATGAGCTGTGAAGGTGTAGGTGTTGTATAATAAGACCTTACTAGATTATGTAACAAAATATACTTACATTAACCTAAAGCATATTTTATTTCCATAACTATAATAAAATAACAAATTATATATGGGTGCATGTATGTATATATAATCATATATTTAGCAGTGTAAAATAGAACTACCTCTTTAAAGGCTCCAGGAGCAGCCTGTCTCACGACTCACTTGGTGGGTCTCACTTGGTGGGTGGTACTTGGTGGTATAAAGTGACCTTTACAGTCCCAGTCGTGTAAATTCCTAGAGTATGAGGCACCCAGCTATGTTAAAATATCCAGCCTGGGGACGCCTAGCTCTAGTGGAATACCCAGGAGGGAGAAAATACCCAGGTGGAGGACACGAGACCACAGTGCAACACCCAGAGTAGGAAAATGCCCCACTCTCTCTCGTTTAATGCCCAGATTGGAGAAAGTAGGTGAGAAGAGGTTTGACTGCAGTGCAACGAGACGCCTCGTTAAGTATTAAACTTTTTTTTGTCTGTAAACAATAGAATGACAACATTCACATACATAACTATGCCAAGGCTAACAAAAGCCAACAGTAAAATTACACACAATAGAAAACCTCAAGAAAGCCTCATGCCATGAGAAGCCGCCGCACTCACTAACATCACTGTTGACACAGTGAGACATGACCATCACTGTTGCCACTGTTGCCAGGCTGGTTAATATGCCCTGGCTGGTTAATATTCCCAGGCTGAGTAAAATACCCAGGATGAGTAAAATACCCAGGCTGAGTAAAATACCCAGGCTGGTTAATATGCCCAGGCTGAGTAAAACACCCAGGATGAGTAAAATACCCAGGCTGAGTAAAATACCCAGGCTGAGTAAAATACCCAGGCTGAGTAAAATACCCAGGCTGAGTAAAATACCCAGGCTGAGTAAAATACCCAGGCTGAGTAAAATACCCAGGCTGAGTAAAATACCCAGGCTGAGTAAAATACCCAGGCTGAGTAAAATACCCAGGCTGAGTAAAATACCCAGTCTGAGTAAAATAGCCAGGCGAGAGATATAGACTACGAACTTCGGGCAAATATCCAACTGGGAAGACACTTAAGGAGTGGCAGGCCAGGAGGCAGGCCAAGGGCCAAGTGGGTGACGTGTGGGTGTAGTGAAAGATCCAAAAGCGACCACTACTTCGGGCTCACCATAGCCCGTGCTACTTGGAACTTTTTGTTCCAGGTAGCGAATCTTGAACAACAACAAGAGGGAAAACTTGCCAGGCGGGGAACTCCTCAGTAAATTGCTCACTCGAGCCAGAAATATTTGACCGGAAGGCTTTAATACACTGAACAAAGTGGAAGATGTTAACCCAGATCACTTCTGTAAAAGGTTGGATATAACGGACACGAGGGGCAAGAGCCTCAAGCCCAACAAGCCACAATATAGGACAGAGAACACAGGATTTTTCACCCACAGAATATAAAGCTATGGAACCGCCTACCCGCCGAATCTTTAAATGCCAAGACATTACTTTAGTTCAAAAGTCAAGTGGAAACATTCTTCTGCATCAATGGTGGCACCTCTGAACAGGCCGCGGGCTTCTTGTCCCTCGTCGAGGCCACTAGTGATGATGGCGCTCAAGTAAATTCAGGAAAATATTATCAATTCTATATTATTATTAACATAGTTTAAGTGCGTAGTTTGATACACCACCCTCGACCGTATGAAGACCTGCCTGGCTCAGTCCTGTGGTACCAAGGATCCTCATCCCTGAGGATGTTGGTCACTCAGCCCCTTGTGATCTCCACTACCAACCTCTACCTGCATTATGAGGACATCACCAAGAACACCTCAGTGGATAAAGACATTACAAAGCTGCAGGTACCCCATACCAGCGGGTCTGAAGGGTCTACTGACTGGACACCCAATAATGTAGTGTGTGATGTCATGACCCAGGATTGGCAGATTCGTCACTTACGGACACCTGCCACAGGTAACGGTAGCCACCAGCCACAGGTAACGGTAGCCACCTGCCACAAGTAACGGTAGCCACCTGCCACAGGTAACGGTAGCCACCAGCCACAGATAACGGTAGCCACCAGTCACAGATAACGGTAGCCACCTGCCACAGGTAACGGTAGCCACCAGCCACAGGTAACGGTAGCCACCTGCCACAGGTAACGGTAGCCACCAGCCACAGGTAACGGTAGCCACCAGCCACAGGTAACGGTAGCTGTGGGAACCGACCTGTGAGATTTATATTTATTTAATTTATATGAATTTATATTTACGTTAATTTATATACTTCGATAGCAATTTGTATAATGATAAGTGGACTGTATTTCTGCAATAATCTCATAATCTCACAAATCGATCCTCTACACATTAGGGGGGGGTTATTAAATTAATATATATGCAGCCAATCAAACTACAGTAATAGCTACATACATTGATGAGGTTCCTTATCTTATAGTACAGCAGGTTAGTCCACCAGGTATAACTAGGGTGTAGACACCAAATTATCCTCTTTGAGGCAGCTTCCATCACCCAGTAACTGGTGCACAAAATCTTGCATCCTCGTCTTGACCTGTCAAAAGTGCGCTAGCTGTGAAGCCAGATACCTATATATGACAAGTATATCAGAGAAAACAGTACATGGAACATGAAGACCTGGCTTAATTACCTTTAGTTTGAGGCTTCCACGTGATCTAACCGGGTCAACCCTATATCCTGACATTAATGGCCATAAATGAATGATAAACGGGTTTCGGATAGACACTTAACTTGAATTTGTAGACAGCGTGTTGACAAATGGTACACCTTTGGTTTCCATAACACTACGTCCAAGTAAATTTAACAGGAGCCGAATTTGCTCCCGTGTGAGCCTCTGGTCTCGTATAACAACAATGGCTGCCCTCCTTCCTCCACTCTGACGCCTGGCTTACATTGTCCAGATTTCAGAACGTGATAGAAGGGTCACATTTACTCTACTTTAATATTGATAATTAAGTTAATTTATATAAGATGTTTTTATGATGGTAAAGTCCAAAGACTTATGTATTTAAGAATAATTCCCAGCAGAATAGCTGGTGAATTATAATAGTATGTGGTTATGATATCCCGTTTTCTTTAGACGGTAATTCCACTACAAGTTACGTTTTCTATGGGTAACTTGTTGGTAATACAGTTATTATCTGTATGATATATTAAATGGTGTCGGATTTTCCGACATAATTCCCCAGGGGGCTGCTCACGGGTCGAAGTCCTATTTAGAACAGACGAACACCGATACTCCTCCTTCGGATTATTAGATTAATTTGATGTTAGTAGTTAGTAATCACACATTTGTGTGTCTGTTCGTACAGGACGGATGTCCCGTACTAGAGTTGCAGGGGTTAGAAGTCTAATGCGATTTCATTTCCCTGTCAACTCTTGAAAGGCTAATATTCAAGCCTTATTACATATTATTTAACCCAGAAGACTGGATGTGATCAAGTACTACAGTCAAGTATGATTCAGGGACTGCAGTGAGATCAGTGACATAGATATAACTTGAAGTTTGTTCAAGTAACTGGTCACTGATATATAAACACTGAGGCCC